CATTTTTAATGTATACAGGGAGTGTTTATATCAAAACATTATTCAGAAATATGTTATTATGAACAATATGTGTACCTTACATACAAAAAACCTTATGTAATTTCTGTTTTATTTAATATATACAAGCTGTCTCTTCTGTATTCGAAAATTGTTTTGCAATCGATATTATCACGCCTGAGAATTTACATATATATATATGCATACTAATAATTATTCATGTCATACTGTAAATGTGTAAAGTATTCCCGAACATTGGCGTTCAAGCCCAATTTTTTTCTCCTGTCCGAAAAGTTCGAAAATTAGACGGCCACATATTCGTTTCCAGATTGTGAGTCACTGTTTTTACCTGATTTAGACGAAACTTGAAACATAGGGTTATCTCCCAAAGATCTCGACCCCTTTTGATATTAGCATGTATAAGGCTCTAATTTCGTGGATTATTGCCCCTGATTGTACGAAAATTGACGTTTTTAGCTTGTGGACACTCTAAAGGACATAATATTTTATCCAATTTTGATGAAATTTAAAAAAAAATTGTTTACAACCGAACGATCACGGTTCCTTTCGATATTCGCGCATATCGGACTGTAACTTCATGGATTATTGCCCCTGATTGTACGAAAAATCACTTTTTTTTACCGCGTGGACCTTTTAGACCGTTATATCACTCTTACACCATAATGTTCGAATTTCTTGAAAATTGGACCGAAACTGCCCGACAAATTTGCTGCACCCCTATACGCATATAACGTAAAAGTATGTAATACCAAGATTGTGGACCCTCTAGATGTCACAATTTTTATCCGATTTTGATGAAACTTACAAAATATGTTTATATCCCAAAGGTCTTGGTTCCTTTCAATACTTGCGAGTATCGGGCCCTAACTTTCTTGATTATGGCCCCTGATTGTACGAATTTGGATATCTCACATAAGCAGCGGTACGTTATTTCCGAGCTGATAATGGCCTGTCTTGTCAAAGTGTTATCACAATTAGCCGTCCAGGCCGTGGCCGATCTCTAGTGGATCTCTGCCGGAAACGATCGGCCATTATGAGATTGTTATGGCATCCAAACCTTCGGGTGACAGCTTTGGGGCTCATGTCTCCCTGAATTAAAAATAAAATGGGGTTTAACGTCCTACTGTTTTGCTCCGGTTGGGCTAATGGAGACGGGCATATATGCGCCATACAGTGTGATATGAGGGAAATTTTGTCCGGACAGCGGCGCTACGGCCTACTTTTATATCGAATTCCAGCTGCCAAGGGATCTTTTGCGTGCATGCCAATGTGTATACGGGACCTCGATTTTCCATCCCACCCGAACGACTATACGCTGTCCTCACTGCTTAGTCTCAGTGACAATGCTCATCATCAAACTCAGCCAAGAACTCATCTAATGAACATCTACACCAAGCTTAAATATTCTACTCCAGTTAGAAAAGCAGTGTTATCGCGTTTAAATTTGCATATCACTGCTTAACAAACTCAGTCAAGAATTCACCTAATGAACATCTACCCAGTGGTTCTCAATCTTTTTTTGCCAACGACACACCTTGGAACACATGAAAAAATAGCGCTCAATGTACATACAAGCACCATCGATCAATCCTTCTTGTTTTGTTTGCTCTCAGTCTCGGGGGTTCGATTTTAAAAGCTTGGCCGTTTGAAACAATTTATAATCACAATTCCGCATTTAGCCCCATATTAAAATTATTGCCAGGGGAGGACTGGGTAGCTCTAGGTCCTCGGCCCAATTGGTTTGGTTGGGATTCCATCACGGTTAAGAATGCGTGATATGACGAGAAAACGAAACTAGTTTGATTCACTTTTTCTGCACTCCACTCATAGTTTCTTTGTCCGTCCCTGAAAACAGATGAGTAGAAACTGCACTTGTTTATCATTAGAGCAACTTGCCCTGGACTAATCGTTTGGAGAAAACGACGCGGATTAATAATAATATTTATAGAGATTTTTTTATTATTTTATTTCGGGATCCAACATTCAATTCATTTCAACCAGACCCAGGTTAGGCGGGCCGCTGACTGGACTAAAGACTCAAGTACAGAAATGTGAGAAAGGAAGATATTTAATGTCAAACAGATAAAATACATATTGATCGAAAACTAATAAAGTTTTACATGTTAAATTAACACAACAATATGTTACCAACCCATGTAGTTTGCTTCTGTGTACGTCCATGGTGAATCATACTGGTGGATTTTTCCATACACAATTTCAAATAATATTAAGAATTTGATTTTTTAAATCTCTCTCTCTCTCTCTCTCTCTCTCTCTGTCTCTCTCTCGGTCATTTAGGGACTAACACACTGTCAACATCCCGCTTAATCCGGGCCTGGTAGAAATAGATTGAATGTTGGATCACGAAATAAAAAAAAATAATCTCTCAAAATATTAGCCCGCGTCGTATTCTCCAGAAATTTGTGCCATATTCGGCCCGCTAGACTTGGTCCAAGCGCCCCGATTAGAAAAACATAATTTGATATATAGGTTTTTTTTCAAAATAATTAAATTTGTAATGGCCTCTCGAGGATAAAAAATTATCTATGAGTGAGGTGCAGGAATAGTGAATCAAACTGGGTTTCGTTTTCCCATCATGTCACGTATTATTCTTCGCCGTGATGGGGAGCCCAGTTGGTACGGGAGCTTCAATGGCCTCAATCCGCGAAGAAAAATGAGTGAGGTAGGAACAAGGGAAAGACAGCGGAAAAAGAGGACACACTGTTGTCATAGGGAATGGGAATATGATAACCTTGACGCGGGCATTTCCTTCAGTGTTTGAGGTAACCCTTTCTAAATTTGAGGGCATTTTTTCAGAAGAGAGTGCACATTTTCGGGAGGGAGGGCTCATCCCTATACCCTGGTAGGAAATCTCATCGAATTAGAGCGTTATTAACCCTGTTGACATTATTCTGTCACCTGTAACTTCCTTGGCCAGGTTTAAAGTAAACTTTTTATACCGGTGCCACGGTCGGTGTCTAAATCTAGAGCGTCTCTTTGTTCACCAGCGAACAGAATCAACATGAAACTTGGCAGGTTCTAGTAGGTCGTTTAGTTGTTAATTGTTTGATTGTTGCTAACTATGTTTATGTTCGAGATCTTCAGAATGTAATCATAATTCCCCCCCCCCCCCACTAACCCTAAAAGTTCCCGGCGCTGCCCCCCCCCCCCCAACAACGTGCCCTAAGTTGGGTTTGCCTACCCTCTGAATGCACCTATATACCAAGAATCACAGTTCCCGTTTCCAAATTCCTACATACCAAGAAATTGTTCATTGGCAATCTCAGTCAAAGACAGTCAGTCTAAAGAACAGCTACATTTAATTTGAACATTATATCTTACTTAGCCAGTGTTCCAGAATGTAATAGAGGCAGACGGGCGGACCAGTTTGTATTTGTACTAATTGACCACTCCAATTTAAGTCGATTATTATTCTTATTGTTGGCAATGTGAACATGATGATTTACTAATCATAATTAAAATCTGTACAAAAATGTTGTCGTAGAAAGAATGATTTATAAAAGAGATTCAATAAACCTCGGACAAATCAGCAATACATGTACTTAACTGGACAATAAATGTCCTAGAACCAACATTAAAAATCAAAATTAATTTGTCAAATTAATAAAAGTGTTAGTTTAGCTTCTTGAACTTATAAATGTATACCCCCAGTTTTACACAACGGAATTTTCGAGATATATTTCTAACTTAGGATGAGCCAGAACCGGCAGAACGTGACGGTGTGGATATCAAGTTTCAAATGATAAATACTGAAACGTACTTATTATGTACCACTTTTCCTGTCAATCCTTCAAGTGTTTTCTTTTGGTTATAGTTCACGAATTTTGTTTTTGAAAGATAGCGTTTTAAGAAATTATTATTTTTACATTAACACTGAATGAACGAAACTAAACGTTAGCAATTATTATCCACGTACAGTGATTAAATCGTATTCTATTCCGTTATAATTTACAAAGTGATACATCACTAAGTGTACACCCTCATCTCCACTCCTTGACCGAAATACATTCAAGAATAGCGGATTTGTTGAAATTAAAATCAATAAAACTGTTAATATTATTCTGTAAATTAAGTATATCCTGGGTCTATTGATATAATACTTTTTTTTATCTATCTTGATATACCATGATAATACAAATATATAAAATTACAAGGGATATCCTTGACGATTAGAGGCGTCATTGCTAGTAAACAACGTCATAACGGAAATACTCTATAACAAAACATAATTATTGGTGCCATATATAAACCGACTACATTGATATCAGTATTAGAAAAAAAAAATTTAATACGGATAAAGAAAAACAGATTGAAACTCATAGGTAATTATCTTTTGATTAATACGTGGATTTATATTATAAATCATCAATGTAAGATGGGTTATACTCGTTAATTGGAATACATCAACACTGAAAGGTGGTTTATAAGAACCGTTCAGTAATTTATAAGTCTAAAGTACCCTCATTAATGGAAATAAGATTCAAAGATGCATTATGTTTTTTTTAAAATAAAGAGTAGTCAGTTTTTGCTGTAATAGTTTGAAAATAGATCATGAGAAATGATAATATTGAAATTTTCTGTTAAATTACTTAAATTTCTGATGCAAGTTGTGAATGATTAAACTTTTGACAAGAAATAGCGTAAATAGTCTCGATTGCCAAGAAACCTTGCGCACGATAATAAACGTACTCTAATTAACGTTAAACGGACATATTTCAGATATTTTCTAATCCACTTAATATCTCAGCCAACGGATGTTCCCGAGAGTTAATTATGGGCTTGCCGTGTGAATAAATGTATAAATAATAATTTTTTATATATTAATTGAAGCCAAAAAAAAGACCCAAATAGGCGCAAATTTAGCTTTTAAATAATTATTCATCTTTAAGCTTATATCTGACTTCGAGGGTTAGATCGATTTTATTGGCTATTAACTAGTCCACGTGACATACTTATCTACATATTAGAACAGTTTCGAAAGTATAGCGCCATAGTGTTGAACTGGATCTTTACGACCAAATAGAGAGGTATGCTTATTATATTATAATTGATAAAAATTTTTAACTTTTTTTCTTATTCACTTTATAATAAATTAAACAATTATCTCTGAAATCTTTGATTTGATACAATTCTAGTTATGAACGTCTCTATCATATTTTTTAGTATCTTACCAGGACGTGAACATTATAATTTACAAGGGAAACATCATGTTGCATATCGTATTGGTTGTTCTAGTATTATTACATCAAACAAATGGACATGGGCGTTTGATCGATCCACCGTCCAGAGCGTCCATGTTTAGATTTGGATATAATACCCCTCCGGATTATAATGATAATCAAGGAAATTGTGGTGGAAGAGATGTAAGTTTCATTCTTTGGTCATTATTTGGGCATTACAATTATTGTTTTCACAAATAATATAGTCATTTGAGTAGATATCTGAAACATATGGGGATTGTCTCGGACAACATGAACAACGTATAATCCTCATCCCTATATGTCATGACCCACGGGATAAATATTTTATCTGCAAATGTTTTTGTCTAAGTATCCATGAGCTTTGAATATTAGGCACTGTAAATGGTCATTACATATTTTTTTCTTGTCAGACATTGTGCCATTTTATACACTTTTTCATTTACTTCTGTATATCCTGTGTTGAAATTCATATAATTAGAGTTCATGTAATTGATAAGATAAAAATCAAAACGTATGAATGTAATGACGGAGAATACCTTGTACAGCAGTTGCACGAGGCTTACTCTTGCTTGTGATATAGTACCAAAGGATCTAAGAATAACGCTTTCAACTATGGCTTTCACTTCCTTCCCCTTGTCAGTGATGCAGGCCGGAGGGTCTGACGACGAAAAACCGAGGTCCCGTGTACACAATGGCGTGCACGTGAAAGATCCCTTGACAATTGGAATTCGATATAAGAGTAGGCCGTAGTGCCGCTGTCCGGGCAAAATTTCCCTCATGGCACACTATATGGCGTATGCCCGTCTTCATTAGCCCAGTTCGGAGCAAAACAGTAGGACGTTAAACCCCATTTCATTTCATTTCACTTCTTTATTTTAACAGTACAGGACCAACATTTGTAACGCATACATCTATAACTATGACATATTGTAGGCTACAACGTGCAGAAACATAATTATGTAATTATATCATCTTCTGTCGTCTGCTATCCCCTTTCCGTATTGTGTGTTAATATTAATATTTAATGAGTGTTAACTAGATGTAATAAACATACATTCAATTCTATACTGTTATCTAATAATATAAGGAGATATTGACTAATTAACTAACGTATTTACTCCAAAGCTTTAAAATTGTATATCATAGAATTTTTTAAAATGTATTTCTAATTTCTGTTTATTTTTGTCATTACTGCCGTCAAATCAACGAATAAAAATATTTGAATTCCATTTTCATAAATAAAGACAAAAACACGTTATATTGCGATATGGGGGTACCCTATCTCTGAGATGTTCAGAAATGAATAGAAATTTCAAAATTGTTAAGCATCCCTTAATATTTTGTTGTCGAAACGTCTTGAAAAATCAGATTTACACTAAAATATTTTTTATATATTAGCATGTGCCCCAAATGTCCTGAATATAAATTTTGATCGAGAATTAGTCCTCATTTAAATGAAGTTGCCGTAACCCAGACGGTACTCTCTGATGGTTTAACACGTTAAATGCTTGTTCTAACAGAGCGTCCTAAGCATTTTGTCCCATAGCATATCGTATAGGACCTAATCAACGACTAGCCTAAAATTGAATGTATCTAATATCACTAATGCAAGGGATTGTTGTGGTCCTTGTTGTATTAATGGTTCGACCCTTTCTTACTTTTCTTGACTCGCTAACCTGGGGGTCCCAAGAAAGTTTCTCGTGATTTCTGGCGTGTCTCTTCTTTTCGGTCGCGCAGCACGGAAGGCTTAGCAAGGATCAGCGTCCAGACGTTCGGATTGCACGAAAAATAGGCGTGCACGTAAAAAAAAAACCCTTGACAGTCAGAACTCTAAATAACAGTCGGTCGTAACGGCCACTGGCCGTGCAACCCCCCCCCCTCCGCCGGAGCAGATCGCATGGTATATACCCATCTTCATGAGCCCTGGTGGAGCAGACAAGTAGTAGGTAGTGAGGATCTCGAGTACCCGATTCGCTACAGTTTGAAATACGAGTACTGATCAGTGGCTAAGCTACAGCGAAAAATACAAGTATTGGTCTCTCTGCACTACAGGACCAAATACAAGTATAATCCCCTGGCTATCATAAGACTGCGCTACAATGCGAAATACAAGAATTGGCAATTAAACAGGGCCCTTAGTCACGAAAACTTAAACTAAGTTACAACCGAAATTTTAAGAAATACTGCAACTTCATTGGATATATGCAAATTGATTTTACTGGTCAGCCAATCGAATTGCAGTATTTCTTAAAATTTCGATTGTATCTTAGTTTAAGTTTTCGTGAATAAGGGCCCAGAGCTAAATATGCCTATGACATAACATGACCATAATCATCTCTCAATGCCATCGGGTGGTTTAAGTAGATTTGAACGACTCGGCTATTTAATGATTTAATTTAAAAATGGAGAAGCGAGGCTAAGACTCGAATGACCAGTACGGTGGTTACGATCGATGCACACATCATGTCAAAACGATAACCACTGATAACTTCGCTCAAAATAAACGAATGAAATATTTGCTTTATCTATTTTTGAAATATTATAACAAGAACGACCAGCTCTTTACCTAAATCTTACATAAGGCCCCTTTAATATAATGTTCGTTTTTTCCACAGATACAGCAAAGGAATAATGAACAATGTGGGGTTTGTGGCGATCCCTGGGATGCAGAAGTAAAGCCCCATGAAGCAGGGGGTATTTACGCAACGGGACAAATCGTTCGAACCTACAAGACTGGAGCCCATATAACAGCCACTGTCGAGCTCACAGCAAATCATATGGGATATTTTGAATTCAGAATATGTGTTAATAATAACGTTACTAAACCAGCAACACATGAGTGTTTGAATAAACATTTGCTTGAACTTGGAGATAGACCTGGGAGCAAGTTTTACATTGATAATCAATCGGGCTACGAAAAAGTTTCTCTTAAGCTTCCTGAAGGTGTTGTCTGCACACAATGTGTATTTCAATGGAAATACCATGCCGGTAAGTCTTCTAATACATTTTAATTGCTTCTTGAGACAAAGGTAGGCTTTCATTGGTTAGTAGAATTCGAAGAGTGCAATTGATGAAGTTTAATTTACCTTTCTATTTAGATGAAGTTACATTTAATTTACCTTTCTATTTAGAAGAAGTTACATCCCTTGTTAGATCTTTATCGGCTTTATTTATTGGCTAGTAGAAATTGAGACAAAGGCAGGCTTTCATTGGTTAGTAGAAATGGAAGAGTTCAATTGAGACATGGACAGGAATTCGTTGGCTAGTAAAAATGGGAATGTTTAACTGAGGGAGTTTAATTTAACCCACTATTTCGAAGATTTTCCAGTGCATGATAGGTCTTTGTCGGTAGTATAGGCTTTTACCGAATCTATTAAATTCAGATGTGACATTAATTATTTTTTTTTTTATATTGTATGCTGATTTTTATAAACTGACAGCTGTCAATCGAAAATGTTGCCAGACCTAAGTTTTGAGTCGGATTCATGAAAAAAGGAGATTTCTTCGATAGCCGGGACAATATGGCCCATTCTTTTGAGCAACGAATGCACCCACCAATCTCTGTATGCTCTATTCTTTTGGTATCCGTAGTAGTAGGGGTTTCAAAGATAAAAATATTTTTTCACCAAACCAAATAGATGGTCCAGTTGTCTGTACAGGCATACATCCTTAAATGTATTGTATTTTATGTTTCAGGTAATAGCTGGGGAACTGATCCTAACGGTAAATCTTGTGTAGGATGTGGACCACAAGAAGAATTCTATGCTTGTGCGGACATTGCTATTTCGCCGGGTAGTATGGTTACAGAGTCCCCAACAGCCAGCACTACGGTATCAACAGAAATAATGACAACCACGCAAGCCCATAAAACTTCTTCATTCGCACCAGTACAACCACCCCAAGGGTCTCCCAGCAATACAAATTGCCATGCAATCGGAGCTTTCGCAAACGACCAGGCTTATAATAACTGGTGTGTAGCAAATTGCGCTCTTGGTACATGCCCAGATTATCTGTGTAGCTGCGATGATGGCAGCGACGATGAAGATGTCCCTCACGTCCCTGAATGTAACTCATACGGCATCTTTAAATCTAACAGTATGGACGAATGGTGTAAAACGCAATGTCAGGTTGGATTCTGTCCAGATACTCACTGCACATGCGCATAAATAAGGTTTTGAACTGTTTGTTTGTGTTGTGTATTTGTGTTATGGTGGTCGTGGTCATTTTCTTTAACTTTCAATTCTATTATGTTATGTGAAGTGTTAATGTTTAAATCACTGTGTTTTCGGTTTTGTCGCATTTTTTCTTTTGTTTTCCAACTTTCTCTATTACAAACTATTCTTTTTAGCTCTTTGGCGGGGGGTAAATGCCAACAGAAAAGTACATAAATAAAAATTTGTAAAACCATAATAATTTGTAACTTTTATATCAAAATGGCTTACTATTGTAAGAAATTAGGCTCAGTTTAAAGACCCCGATCAACTTTACTGAAAATGATACCATTCTGTCGGGGAAAAAACCCAACAAGTGACAGTTTTGGATAAATGAAATAAAATGAAATGGGGTTTAACGTCCTACTGTTCTGTTCCGACTGGGCTAATGAAGACGGGCATACGCCATACAGTGTGCTATGAGGGAAAATATTACCCGGATAGCTACCCTCGGGACATCAATTGTTTGTCTCAGCCGAACGACTATGCGTTGTCCCTTTTCAGGCCTTCTGTGATGCACCACTGACAAGGGGGATCTACGCCGATCAACTTTCTCTGCCAACACAAGGATTGAACACGGGACCTCCAGGTTAACGAGCCTACATCTTACTCACTGAGCCAGCGTGGCTTCTCCTTGTATTTATGGTTCCATAATTTTCGGATCGTCGAATAGCCCTATCTTAGAATGCCATGCGACACTTCGGGTGGACCGATCAAGATATAGTTTGATGCAGCCGAGAAATTAGCCCTTGAATTTCTGATTTCTATCTGTTTCTGATGTGAAAGATATGGATGTTTTAAAAAGTTTTTGCTGAAATTATACGGGATTCGGCAGTTTTCTAAATGTTAAATTGAAAGTGTGCACACCATGCCTTTTCTTTCACAAGCAGTTTCGGGAAATGTTGACTTATACTATACATGTATAATAAACCGGTTATAAAAGGGGTGGTCTCTAGTATAATTTAGAGAAAGTCGTCTTTATTAGTACAGTTTCTAAAGAAAATACAAACTTTAAGTTTTCATTTATGCTCATTGGCGTACGGGCCAGATGAATGTTAGGGGAGCAGAACTGAAATGCCTGGAAAAACAATTCACGTTTACAGACGGCATTGCCGGTCGCCAGGTAGTGGCGTGGGCGCAGAGCTTACCTGATAATATTAGAAATGCTCTTTATTTCTACTGTATGGAACATTTACTACTGCTGCCACTTCTATGATTTGCTTGGAATTCAGTGATTATCTAAAGTTAGTGATGCTACCAATACTTGTGCCTGGTATCTTTAATCTGTGTCTCAGACATAAGCGTACGAGTCCGATGAATGTTAGAGAGGGAGAAAGAAATGGATTTTAACGTCCACTCGACACAAACAAAGTCATTTCGGGACTAACATAATATGGTTCAATTTTATTCCAATAATTCGCTTGCGCGTAGGGGTCTTTAGCAGTGGGGGGAAACCCGCGGGGTTGGGCAGGCGACTCTACTCCTTGTCACGTACAACCGGAGAATCGAAACCACGCCATTTGACTCAATGACAGACCTTATGATACAGCGCGCACTCGCTAATCATTCGCCATCCAACCCAGGATGAATGTTAGAGCGGGTAGAACTGAAATGACCGAAAATGTTCACGTTCGCAGAGCTTCAAAGAGCGACGTAGGCGCAGAGATTACCGTGTAGGGGCTTCCCAAAGAAGATTTGGAAAATTTGACGGTCGTATACACGAGTTTTCCTGCTATTCCAGCCCGTGATCCAAAATATAGCCTGGTGGCTGAACCGAATACCAATCAATTGTTTACAGTCCGCGAAGACGCGACCGACGGGAGGAAATTTGAACATTTGAGGGCAGTAAACGCGTTTTCTTCTATTACAGTCCGTGAATATAATAACTTCAACGTGGTCCAAACTAAGCCTAACCTGAATTCCAAAGAACCAATAAATCGTTAAGTCCATTGAGTCGGGACCGGCGAAGCCAGTCTTTGCGGTTGCGGTGCATGTGGTGGGGGGGGGGGTGTAGTAAAAAACACTAAGTATATTTCGAGAAATTTGATGAGAAGTATATATTCTGCTTTCATTTAGCACAATTCTAAAGGTGTAATTAGTCTATTTGTGTATATAACAGATGTAAACCGACAGAACAGTATAGTAATTGTTGGATATGGTGACGATGATTTATGGCAGAGATCTATTCTCCAAGTAGAGTATATAGTTCTCTGTGTGCGGAATGGCCCTTCTCGAGAACATTTTGAAAATTTAACCGCCACAAGTGCGTTTTATGCTATTCTAGCGTGTGAGTTAAATATCATCTGACCCGAAAGTAATGATCGGATTTTGGTCGAATGGACTTTAAACCCAGTTTATATGCCTTGAAACAAATTTCAACAAAGAATATTCTAAGTATAGTCCCGGCTGCAGGTGCCTTGTACCACCGTCTTTGGGTCAAGTAACCTTTTTCGAACCAATTTGTTCCTCCGGCCTACGACCGTAATGGGTTAAGTAGCTTTCTTCGAATAACCCTATAAATTCTAGTCTATGCACCGAACTTCTCTCTGGTAATGTTCTCATCTAAGTCGAAAGACAGTAATGGCTGATTCTTTACAACAAAGAAACCCCAACAATCTATACCCCCTCCCCCCCCCCCCAAAAAAAAACAAAACAAAACAAAAATACAAAAAAGCAAAAAAAAAAAACAAAAACAACATTTTATATACATAAAAAAAAATACGTTCCGTACCAAAAATACATTTTACCTCAAGACATATTTCCAACAAACATTTCATACAAAACAAAAACCTCAACAACATTTTATACAAACACCCTCACCCCTCCCCCCACCCCACCCCCAGAAACAGCTATGTTATCGTATCAATAAAACTGGTTGGTGGATATTCTATTACAGATGCCTTTCCGCGTACAGACTGTGTGATTGGTTAATATATTTGGACTTAAAACGTATTCAAATTAACTTATCTATCAAAAGTTTGCTTCAAACCCCTCTCAAAAGATTTTAATCCGAGCAAAACTAAGAAGCCGTGTTTGTCACGTAACTTGATTGTGGGGGATACAGAATTGGTTATATTTGTTTTTAGTCGATGTCCATTTATCATAAATTTTCAACATTCCCATTCTGTCGAAATCCATTAGGAAGAACTGGTGTTGGCCGTTTACTAGACGGTGTAAACATTATTCCTACGTCGTAATCTGTTGTTAATAAAGGGTAACCCATGTCACAGCAGCATTTAAAGTTACAATTTCATATTTTTAAGTTATATTTTTAAAATGTATTAAAATAAAGCCTTAAAATAGATGGTATCTATAAACAGTTCTACCTTGTTAAAGAATAATCCTATTAATCCTATAATTCACTATTGCCAGTTGAGAAATTGGCGAAAATATCATTTTCAACTTCAAATTCAAGCGTTTGAAGATAGCTATTCCATGGTTTGGAATAGAAAAACAAGGGAGGTAATTGTGAGGTGATTGTGTTATTATTTCCGGTGTGAAAGAATTTTAAGTGTGAGAATGACACCTATGATCGTATAATAGTGAGTTGACAACCTATTGAGCAAAAGACATAGAAATAATTATGTTTTGACTTTCTTAGAAAGTATGAAATTCTCGCTTTAAGCGAAATGGTAATTGAAATAGCCCTTTTTCTTTAATATAATATAGTTTATTAGAAAATACATACATATACTATATGCGTATAATACAAACGGGATCAGAACAAATTGTACAATTTACGAATCTTCTCCCAGTATAATCTAAAATATTTACAATTATCACTGAAATTTGATTTAATATATGTTATATACATACATACATGCTACCATATCGTTACATATTAAGTGAATATTAATACTAATAAACCAATGGAGAATTACAATAATAGCTACAGAGTACCGTGGATCTTTTCGTTTGTACGGTGAGAAATATATGGGTATTAAAAGATTTAGGAAATAGGGAAGAACAATCTAAATAAATTTTATGCAACTCAGATCGTGGTAGATTGCCTATAAAGTTAAGATTATCAATTAAACATACATTATGCAAGAGCTAAATCTGTCTATTGCAGGTCTTTCTTTGGGCCTGAAATGTTATCTAAATTATTAATTAGACATTAATTAACCTATCCAGACCATAATTAAATCTAGATGGCATTTCTAGCCTGCGATCCGTACTGGATTATGAGCCGATTTACTGCATAATTTTCCTTCACGATTTAACGATTAAATGGATAATCGAGTCTATGCTGTTTATCGTACTGACTTTAGTAATGATGATCAAGGCTAGCCGGAAATTTCAACCGCTTAGTTCTCGGTTCATAGTGGGTCAATTTGAATGAAATTTTCAGCAAATTGCCTTTACATTATATAGTTTTTAACTATTACAGTGAGAACTGCCAACTCGTTATGGAATCTCCCATAATGTATCTTTAAGTCAAATGTATTTTTAAGTGATGACGCTGTAACACATTTTTTGAGCAATCAAAAAAAAAGTGAAACGAATTTTCAATGCTTTTATTGTCGCATGTACACAGTGCCGGACTGGGCCCACCTGTCCACCTGTCCGTGACAGGTGGGCCTAAGCTCATTAAAAAAGTGGACCTAAGCCTATAAAGAAAAAAGAAAAAAGAAAACAGAGAAAGAAAAAAGAAAGGAGAGGGAGAGGAAAGAAAAAAGAAAGGAGAGGGGGAGGAAAGAAAAGAAAGAGGGAAGGAGGATACAGGACATAGGACAGGAGAAAGTAAAGATAGGAAAAAATGACTGACAAATAACACAAAAAAGGAAGTGTACTACAAGGAAAGAACTTTATGAGTTTGACCTCATTATACCGAGAAGGTGTAATTCATCTTTTAACCTCTTTTGACACTCTTAGGTCATTCTGTTATCTAATTGTATCAGGAAGTAAAAAATTTGCCTTCTTCTCCTTTGGTCTGAAATAATTGGAAAATGGGTTTGCGGTTGTCAATTTTCAAAATTTTCCTGGGGGGAGAACCCCCTCGAACGCTCGTGTGCCTTCGACGCGCTCGTGACACGTCTTCGGCGCGTATTTGTGTGGGCCTTGGTCAATGACCTGACAGGTGGGCCAAATCCATACTGCACGTACAGTATGGATTTTGAACACTGTTTGATTTATTAAGATCATAATTTAGAACACTACTGGTTTGGCGTATTCGATTATGGTAAATGGATAATTTTCTGCTGCCAATGTTTCTTAATTTTGGAGGTTTCACTTTCGCCTTATATTAGATGTAAACTCAGATAAAGATAGTGTGGATTTTAAACCCGGACGTAAACTATTGAACTGTTGAATGGTTTTAAGAAAAAATGAGCTTTTTGTTACAGTTAAATGACAAAGGGGTACTTTTAAATCATTACAGTTTCTACGATAACCTATTATCTCTTGAAGATAAAACGGCCCTGTTTTGTGAATAAGCTTGTGTAATAAGCACAATCGTCTTCTTTTTCTGCGATCATGTAATTTAGTGCATGCAGTTTCAAAATAAAGTTATTCGCGAGATGCATAAATAGTGCAAGCCGTATGTAGATACGTACTTTGAAATTTAATATTTAAAGGAAACATAACATTTTTGTTAGAAGGTCATTAATTCAGTTTTTTTTTTCAGGATTAAAGGTTATAGGCCATTTATTAGCCCAGGCACACAACACACCTAAATTATAATTCAATGCAGCTTCAACATTCGATAAATCTGTTGACGAAGAACATAGCGTTGTGTCATCAGCAAATATTCTCGTTAAATATCAAGATGATCAAAAAAAGCAGAGGACCAAGAATCGAACCTTGCGGAACGCCAGAATTTGTAGACAGTATCAAATAAACAATTTTCTAACTTGATTTCTGTTATTCAAGTAATTAGAAATTAGTACGAGTCTCTAATCTTGGATTCCATAACTATTCAATTTATGCAATAATCCTTTATGAGAAACTTTATCAAAAGATTTGGAAATATCGCAGAATACTAAGCCTGTGTATTCTTTTTTTATCTAATGAATTGCAAATATATTGATATATTTCTATAAGTTGATGTATTGCAGATATGACTGGTAAAAACCCCGATTGGTACTTGTTAAAAGGTGTATTTTTTGAGAAATAACTAAAAAGATTCTGATAAATTAATCGTTCAAAAACTTTAGATATATAACAGGGAAATGGGTCTATAATTTTTGGGATCCGACTTATCACCTTTTTTATACAGAGGAATAACATTGGCTTGTTTCCATGAAATAGCTGAAACAGTTACATACTGCCTATCATTTGCCTATCATTCCCAACTTTGAAATTACATAAGATAACCGCTTTCATTGGCCCGTAAAACAAACAGTGAACTGTATGGGGGCATGCCCGACTTCATTGGTCCTGATGGTGCAGAAAAGAAGGACGTTAAACGCCCATTTCATTTCATTTTATCGACGGGCACATAAAATAACCCTTGACAGTTGGGAGATGAGTAGACAGAAACACCACTGTCCTGGCAATAATCAATGAACGATGAAGGTGAGGTCGCAGACTATATTGTGATGAATGAAACAACGGATGTGGATTAAAATCAAAATCCTCCAAAATCTTCGACATCGAAAACACGAATTATTGGTCAATTTAAATCAACATTGATGATGTAAACTTACCTGGAAAAGATGAGCTTCTGATATCCGATATTTAAGATAAAATAATTTTTTTAACATTGGAACACGAATCGTGTACCATAATGCGCTTCAGCCCCAGTTGTATTGAGAGACTCGAGGGACGAGGCTAGACACATTGCACCAAATCAAATGGAGTTATGTAGACTAGAATAACTAGACGCTAGAAATTTGCACTCGATTGAGATTACTGACTTATTTCGCCGAACATAACTGATTTGAAATTGGAGAAAAAACGGAAACCATTAAATGTAAATCAGTTTATATACATTCATATTACAGTATTATATGCGTTGCGACCCACTTTTGTGAATTTCTAGGTCCCAAATGTTAGCGATTTAGCTCCTTTAAACGATTCAAGTAAAACGATTCATGCGATTTAATAGTTCTCTGCTGTGATATGTAATATTGTAATGTAAATATCCCTTGGATTTATGCTTTATCATTAGTACAAACAAGAAGAGAGGGAGAGAGAGAGTGAGAGAGAGAAATGGGTTTAACGTCCACTCTAAACAAACTAGGTGATTTCGGGAGGAAACCGGAGGACCCGGAGAAAACCCACGAAGTTGAACAGGCAACCCTACTCCTTGTCACGTAGGACTGGGGAATCGAAACCACCCCAGTTGACTCAATGACAGACCTTATGATACAACCCACACGCGCTAACCAATCGGCCATCCAACCCCCTTACAAACAAGAAAAACAGCTTGGGTCTAAAGAACAGCACCGAGTAACGCCTCCACCATTTCAAATACTCTATTAATAGCATAATATGTGCTAATTAAAATTATCACCTTCTATATATTCACTTTGCCAAAATTTAGATACGTTTTCTCTTAGAAGCACTGAAGCTATTTTTCCAATTTTCTTATATATGTGTAGGTAAAGGGGAGTGGGGGAGTGGGCGGGTGGGGTCTGAAATTCAGCTACAAACCAGACTCATCCTAACTAAAACAAACAAATACATATACCAACCAACAGTAAAACTGGTGCCCTAAACACAAATTCCAAGATAGATGACACTCGTGAATTACTTGTATATTTATCTTTATAAAGGTTCAAAAGATGGTTATTATCGAACTTAATGATGGTATTGATGCCATGATACTATACACCGGGTTTCGCCATTTCTTTTACATAATTAGAATTGCTGTGTTCCAAAATTGCTGGGGGATCACGTGGCTAAGTGGGTAAGACGCTGGCTCGCTAGCCTGGAGGTCGGGTGTTCGATCCCTGCATTGGCCGAGAAAGTTCATCCCGATTTTCCGGCGTGGTTTCCCTTATAGTAATGCAGGACGGAGGGCCTGACAAGTACAGCTGGTTAGTCGTTCGGATGGTACGAAAAACCGAGGTCCCGTGTACAAATTGGCGTGCACATAAAAGATCCCTTGGCAGTTGGAATTTGATATAAGAATAGGCCATAGCGCCGGTGCCCGGGCAAAATTTCCCTCATAGCACACTGTATGGCGTATGCCCGTCTTTATTAGCCCAGTTTAGGAGCAAAACAGTAGGACGTTAAACCCCATTTCATTTCATTTCATTTCCAAAATTGCTTATCTCTGCTGAGCCTTAGCGGCAGTGCTCATCACCAAGCTCCGCCAAAAACTCCCCTAATGAACATCTACACCAAGCTTGAATGTTCTACCTCAATTAGAAGCAGCGTTATTGCGTTCAAATTTCTCGTCTCTGCTTAACCTAAGCAGAAACTGTTCATCGTCAGTCTCATTCATTATATCTACAGCTGCAGTGTTCCAAAATGTAATAGAGGCAGACGGTTTCGTTCGTTCGTTTCTAGAGTTTTACGTTCCCTTCCACCTAGGGTGATATCGTAGACAATGGGAGACGGGTAGGTTTATTCCCACGAAGGCGCAGTTATTGACCGTAACGGATTAAAAGAGGTCGTTTTCGACGGGTGGACCCATTTGTATTTGAACTAATTGACATCTCCAATTAAGTCGATTATTGTTCTCATTGTTGGAATGTGAACGTGATGATTTACTTATCATAATTAAAATATGTACAAAAATGTTGTCGTAAAAAGAATAATTTATAAAAGAGATTCAATAAACCTCGAACAAATCAGGAATACATGTACTTAACTGGACAATGAATGTACTAGTTTAGCTTCTTGAACTTATAAATGTATGACAACGCCCCCGCCCCCTCCCCCGTTTTACACAACACAGGTATAGATATCAAACACGGGTCTTCTGTTTATCGTGATCAATTTTCTAATTTGATATGTCTAATTTTAGAAAATCAATAATGAAATGCACGCAAGTATTGAATATCAAAAATTTGCTTATCTAAAGAGATGATTTTTTTTTTTTTAGATTGGGTTCATATTGGAAGTTATCTGACTGGTACCTCTACTTAAATATTCAACCTAAATGACAAAATAAATATTTCTAACTTAGGATGAACAAGAACGTCACCACTCCGATATCAGATTTCAAATGATAAATAAAAACTGAAACGTATTTATGATATACCACTTTTCCTGTCAATCCTTCAAGTGTTTCCTCTCGAACTATTGAAACCCAGCGTTGGACTAGATTTATTATCAGTCAATATAATAGTCTAGATTAACATAATATATCGTCCCTTTTTTAAAGTTATGGATTCAGTGGATCAGTTTGATTTTTTACTTTGGTTATAGTTCACGAATTTTGTTTTTGTTTTATTTTTGAAAGAGAGACTTTAGAAATTTATTATATTTACATTAGGCACGAAATCAAAGAAACTAACAGTTAGCAATTAAATCTTATTCTCTTCCGTTATATAATTTACAAAGTCACCCAATCACAAAGAGTACACGCCCATCACTATACCCTTGTCAGTGGTGCAGAACGGAGGGCCTGACAAGGACAGCTGTCTTGTCCTTCGGTTGATACGAAAAACCGAGGTCCCGTGTATACAATGGAATGCACGTAAAAGATCACTTGGCAGTTGGAATTCGATATAAGAGTAGACTATAGCGCCGCTGCCGGGGCAAAATTTCCCTCATAGCACACTGTATGGCGTATGCCCGTCTTCATTAGCCCAGGTTAGGAGCAGAACAGTAGGAAGTTAAACCCCATTTCATTTCATTTCATTTTTGACTGAAATCAATTTAAGAATAGCGGATTTGTCGAAATTAAAATAAATAAAACTGTTAATATTATTCCATGTGTATTTTTATCTGTATATTTAGTATTACGTTGCTTTAATCTTCTTACGACAAGGCGTGGGTCTACTGATATAATACTTTTTATCTATCTTGATATACCATGATAATAAAAATATCATATAAAATTACAAGGGATATCCATGACGCTTAGAGGCGTCATTGCTAGTAAACAACGTCATAACGGAAATACTTTATAACAAAACATAATTACTGGTGCCATATATAAACCGACTACATTGATATCAGTATCAGAAAAAAATTTAATACGGATAAAGAAAGACAGATTGAAACTCATAGGTAATTATCTCTTGATTAATACGTGGATTTATATCATAAATCATCTATGTAAGATGGGTTATAAAAACCATTCTGTAAATGAGAAGCCTAAATTACTCTCGTTAATGGAAATGACATGATTTGAAAATATATTGAAATTTCAGTTAAATTACTGAGCGAAGTAATGATTGTTTAAACTTTTGACAAGAAATGGTCTCGATTGCCAAGAATCATTACCACGATAATAAATGTACTCCTCACCATAACGTTTAACGGACATTTTTTTTAACCCACATTCGATGTTCCCGATAGTTGATTATGGGCTTGTGTGAATAAATGTCTAAATAATAATTTATTATATAATAACTGAAGCCAGGCAATAACGACTCAAATAGGCGCAGTTTTAGCTTTTAAATAATATAATTATTCATCTTTAAGCTTACAATATCTGACTTCGAGGGTTAGATCGCTTTTAAGTTTTATTGGCTATTAACTAGTCCACGTGACATACTTATCTACATATTAAAACATCTTCGGAAGTCTAGCGCTATAGTGTTGAACCGTGGCTTTACGTCCAAATAGAGAGGTATACTTATTATATCAAAATTGTAACTATTTTTTCCTTATTCACTTTTTAATAAATTAAACAATTATCTCTTAAATATTTTATTTGATACAATTCTAGTTACGAATGTCTCTATTATATTTTTTAGTATCTTACCAGGACGTGAACAGTATAATTTACAAAGGAAACATCATGTTGCATATCGTGTTGGTTGTTCTAGTATTATTACATCAAACAAATGGACATGGGCGTTTGATCGATCCACCGTCCAGAGCGTCCATGTTTAGATTTGGATATAATACCCCTCCGGATTATAATGATAATCAAGGATTTTGTGGTGGAAAAGATGTAAGTTTAAATTCATTCTTTGATCATTGATTTGGGCATTACAATTATTGTAGTACTTTGGTCCTTAAGAACATAGTGTATCTTTAACTAATTATTGGTTAATAATTTCTATAGAGTAAAATCCCACATACTAATGAAAGTAAATAACATGTTTATATATAAAAAACAGTGATATTTTGGTAAAATCCTTACCATTGTCAAAATATCCATCAAATTCTATCTGTTTATGGCATGTGTCATGTATCTGGTAGACCAAACAAGGTAATGCCCCCCCCCCCCCGATGTTGGGAGACTGGTTTTTTTTTTATTCCATATTTGGAAAGGAAATTAACGCCAAGGTCAGTCTATAACGTGCAGAAATAAGGGGGTTATAAAAGAGGGTGTTGAGCGAAATTTATCAAAGCTCACCCAGATATTCCGAGCAGCTATCATCTATGCTTTATTGAGAACGATGGACCTTCGAAGCCACAATAAAGTTGCAGAAACCATCTGACCTGTAGTTTTATTACGATCAAGAAGGAAACACAACAAGGAAGTCCGATATTATTACATTATTGTTTTCATAAAAAATATAGTCATAAATTTTACATCTGCAACATATGAGATCCACTGCCTAAATATTTTATCTGCAAATGTTTTTGTCTAAGTATCCATGAGCTTTGAATATTAGGCACTGTATATGATCATTACATATTTTTTCTTGTCAGCCATTGTGCCATTTGATACCGTTTGTCATTTACCTCTGTATATCCTGTGTTGAAATTATATAATTAGAGTTCATATATTTGATTATATAAAAATAAAAACGTACGAATGTAATGACGGAGAATACTTTGTACAACAGTGGCACGAGGCAAAGTTAGCTTACTCTTGCTTGTGATATTGTACCAAAGGATCCACGAATAACGCTTCCATCTCATACATATATAATTATGAATTCTAGTAGGCTACAATATGCAGAAACATAATATGTAATTATATCATCTTCCGTCGTCTGCTGTCCTCGTTCCACCTTTTGTGTTCCGTTACAAATACAGATCATTTATAATGGCCTGGGCACTGTTTCACAAAAACTTAAAACTAAAATCACTAAAATAGATTTTAACTAAAATCAAAATGAAATTTTAAATTTTATGCGTTACACGAAGATCGATTGATTGTAACTTAAAATGCAGTTTTAATAGATTTATTTAAAATTGCTTGCGCTGACGCACTGCACAATTCCGGCGAGAGCACTCAGGGTGTAAGCTTAAAGGACAATATTGGTGCCAGTCATTATCACATATGTGATAGAGCTGGTTAAACACATTCCAAATATAATTTTACCACAGAGATCATTGCTACGATAGCTGAGTAATACAGGTTTCCTGAATCGGAAGTGACGAACGCCAAAGGAAAACACGAGTCATCTCTCTATGTATCTGACTGATGTGACGAGTGATAACAGATACACGGCCGAATTTCTGCTCACTAATAATTCTTTCAATAATTCAATAAAGTAATTGAATGTCATTAGATAAGAGAACACGAGAAAAATAGAAATAGTTCGTACATTCCCTTGTTTATATTCATTCTATACCTTATAAAAACATGGTAATGCACGGACTTTTTCTGTTTTTCTTTCGTGTTCACTTATCTAGTGGCAGTCAATTCTTTTTATGAATTGTCAGATATCCTCTCACAATCTCACACAAAAACTTTTGGTCTTCGAAGGAATTATTAGGGAGCATAAATTTGCCCGTATATCCGTTATCACTCGTCACATCAGTCAGTTATATAGAGAGATGACTCGTGTTTTCCTTTGGCGTTCGTCACTTCCGATTCAGGAAACCTGTATTACTCAGCTATCGTAGCAATGATCTCTGTGTTAAAATTATATTTGGAATGTGTTTAACCAGCTCTATATGTGATAATGACTGTCACCAATATTGTCCTTTAAACGCTTCGGAACTGAAAACTGTTACCAGGTTGAACTAACCGAACTAACCGTTACAATACCAATGAGGAGAGTTTCATACGTTGTAACAATGTCTGCACATAGTCAGACAGTCGTAGAGAGATGAAATAAATAAGTTTATTGTGTATTATTGGGTGTGAAATGTATCAGTTGGTTGGCCTTGAACTTGCATATCGCTTTCGTGACTTTGGCATTTGATTTACTCGCAGGCTTCAATGGAAATAATGCGTATCGATAAACTAAATCGCTTGAATTTCGCAGTTTTATAGTATTTTGGATAACAGAAACTATTGACAATTGTCACAAACATGTGATTTTTCTGACTCAAACGATTAATCTAGACTAAAGTATTGTCGAATTTTAAAAGTATTTAATAGCTTTTAAACTAATACACTAAATAACCAATGTTCCGATGCCTAGATTGAAATGTCAATCCCATGGACCCTTTCGATCATACTTTGAAAATGCCAATGTGTAAAACTCCTTATTGGATAATGCCTATATCTATCTTACTAAATTAAAATGATTTTTTTCCTAATATAAAATACCCTTGGCTCCTATAATATAAATTATCATAACCCCAAAACGCATCTATCTTAAGTTAGGATGGAATTTTAGTTTAAGACGATTTGAAGCAGATTTAAGTTTTTGTGAAACAGGGCCCAGAGTGTTATAAACAACCATATTAATATTTAACGAGTGTTAACTAGATGTAATAAACATACATTCAATGGTGTATTCCCGCGAAGGCGCAGTTACAGAGCGTGACCAAAATTAATCTTTCCCGCGAAGGCGCAGATATCGACGTGCCGGCTTTCGTTTGAAGAGAGACATGTTGTTATTAGGACCCAATTAACGGTGTTAAAGATTTTATGAAAAGATATAATTAATATGCTCAAATTCAAAGCCAGCTCGAGGAATTGAAACGAAGACACCAGCAAAATGAATTGACATTAGTCGAGTATTTAGACAGGATGTCTTATTTGGCGAAATTGAACTAATTTTTGTTATATTATAGTTGTTTTTATTGGCGAAGTTAAATTAATTTTTATTATAGTATAGTTATGTTTTTTATTTATTTGACGAAATTAAATTAATTTTTGTAATATTATAGTATAGTTATGTTTTTTATTTCTTATCTGGTGCTAAAATGTTGGTTAATTAGTTACAGTGGGGATTATGAAAGTGTAAATTCTTATCATAACAATCTATAACACCATTGTTACGTTTTTAATCCATTTTAATCCTTAGGGCTGGATTCCCGCGAAGTCGTCGAAAACGACTTTTTTAATCCGTTACGGTCAATAACTGCGCCTTCGCGGGAATAAACCGAAAAACCACATTCAATGCTATACTATTATCTAATAATATGAGGAGATAGTGACTAATTAACTAACTTAATTACTCCATGTGTAACATATAAATAATTATAATTGTACTGGCAGATACACCTGCCCATGCCATTGTTATATTATATACTCTGGCACCAATTCTCACTTGAGGAGGTCATACACCCAGCAAATGTTTTGTACTTTTGTATCTATTTCCTTTGTATTTCTGAATTCTGAAAAGGGACATTTGAGGTATAAACCACCGGAAAAATCCCAAAGGTTAAAGATATTTAAAATGTATTTCTACTTTCTGTTTATTTATGTCATTATTGTCATCAAATCAACGAAAAAGAATATCTGAATTTCCATTTTCATCAATAGAGATAAAAACACGTTATATTGGGATATGGTGGCACCCTATCTTGGTGGTGTTCAGAAATGAATAGAAATTTAAAATTCTTTAAACATCATTTCATATTTGTTGTCGAGACGTCTTGAAAAAAAAAATCAGATTTACACTAATCAGGATCTGCTTCAAGGAATCTGCCACGCTCCTTATCCCAAGTCAAGAGCTTTGGCAACCATCTTGTCAATTTGTCAATTACTAACTCGTTGCCAATAATATGCGCAACCATCTAATGAGAGATTCCCACAGCACTGGCAACATGTCGAGTGGTCAATCGTCGATCAGCCACTCCCATGTCATATGCCGCGGGGTCTCAGTGGATAAGGTGCTAACTCGCTAACCTGAGGGGTCCCGGAAAAGCCCCTCGTGTTTTCTGGTGTGTTTTCTGGCGGAGGGCTTGGCACGAAAGAGTGCCCAGTCTTTCGGATTACATGGGAAAATGGCATACACGTAAAAGAACCCTTGACAGCCAGAACTCAAAAAAAGAGTCGGTCGTAACGTCACTGACCGTGTACCCCCGCACCCCCAACCATAGCAGACTGCATGGCATATAGGCATTAGCCGTGATGGTGCAGACAAGTAGGACGTCAAATATCATTTCTCTTCTTTGGTAGTAGGTAGTACATGGGGGCGATCGAGTAACTAATACGCCACAGCCTGAAGTATGAGTACTCTTCTCTGGCTAAGCGACAGCGGAAAATATAAGTATTGTCCTCTCTGCACAACGGTACCAAATACATGTATAGTCTGACAGCGAAACAACGGTCCTAAGACAGCGCTACACAACGATATTCATGTAATGTAATGTTATTTTTTTCCACAGAGACAGCAAAAGAATAATGGACAATGTGGGGTTTGTGGTGATCCCTGGGATGCAGCAGTAAAGCCTCATGAAGCAGGGGGTATTTACGCCACGGGAAAAATTGTTCGAACCTACAAGACTGGATCCCTTATAACAGCCACTGTCCAGGTCACAGCAAATCATATGGGATTTTTTGAATTCAGAATATGTGTTAATAATGACGTTACTAAATCAGCAACACATGAGTGTTTGAATAAACATTTGCTTGATCTTGGAGATAGACCTGGGACCAAGTTTTACGTTGATAAGCAATCGGGCTACAAAAAAGTTTCTCTTAAGCTTCCTGAAGGTGTTGTCTGCTCACAATGTGTATTTCAATGGAAATACCATGCCGGTAAGTCTTCTAATACATTTTAATTGCTTCTTGAGACAAGGACAGACTTTCACTGGCTAGTAGAATTGGAAGAGTTCAATTGATGAAGTTTAATTTACCTTTGTAAATATTTTTTTTACCAACCCAAATAGATGGCCCAATTGTTTGTACAGGAATACATCTTTAAATGTATTGTATTTTATGTTTCAGGTAATAGTTGGGGAACTGACCCTAACGGTAAATCTTGTGTAGGATGTGGACCACAAGAAGAATTCTATGCTTGTGCGGATATTGCTATTGCGTCGGGTGGTATGGTTACAAAGTCCCCCGTAACTAGCGTTACAGTACCTACAAAGTCCACAGCAGCCATTGGTGTGGTAACAACAGAAATACTAACAACCAGACAACCGCAAACCCATAAAACTTCCTCATCCGCACCAGTACAAGCATCCCAAGGCCCTTCCATCAATAAAAATTGTCACGCAATCGGAGCTTTCGCAAACGACCAAGCTTATAATAATTGGTGTATAGCGAATTGCGCTCTTGGTACATGCCCAGATTATCTGTGCAGCTGCGATGATGAAAATGACGAAGATGGTGCCCCTTATGTCCCTGAATGTAACTCATACGGTATTTTTAAATCTAACAATATGGATCAATGGTGTAAAACGAATTGTCAGCTGGGATTCTGCCCACATACTCACTGCACATGCGCATAAATAACAAGACTGAACAGGTTCAATGGTGACATTCTCTTTAACTTTTGATTTCTTTCTGTTACCTGTGTTACATATTATCCGATGTCTTTTGATGTGTTCATGTTTAAATCAATGTGTTATCGGTGTTATTGCATTATTCACGTTCTCTTCGGCGAGGGGTAAATACATATAGATGTACCTATATAAAAAATTGTAAAAACATCATAATTTGTAATTTTTATGTCTTGATGACTTATTATTATAAGGATTTAGGCTCAATTTATAGATCCTTATCAACTTTGCTAACATTAATATCCATATTGTTGAGTTACTGACTATAGACTATATAGGAGCCACGGTGGGTAAGTGATTCGCTAACCTGAAGGTCGCCGGTTCGCCCCCGGTGTTGGCCGAGAAAGTTCATCGCGGGTTTCCGGCTTGGTTTCCCCTTGGCAGGGGTGCAGGAAGGAGGGCCTTCGGATGGGACGAAAAACCAAGGTACCGTGTAAACATTGGCGTGCACGTAAAATATCTCTTGGCAGTTGGAATTCGATATAAGAGCAGGCCGTAGCGGTGTAGGACGTTAAACCCCATTTTATTTATAGACTATATAATAGAACCGTTATTGGAACAAACCCAATAAACGAGTGACCTCATGGGCTTTATCACGTGGCAAGGGGTATGTTCTCGTGTCAATCATCGGGGATTTTCTCGGGCCACGACAGTTTCCATCCGCTTTTAGAGAAATAAAAACACAAACAACATATTGCACTCCCGAAATGGTCTGATTCTGGTCGAGTGGACTTTTATATACTCTTAAAAAAAGTAGGGGATATTCAGAAACAATACAAAACTGTGGAAATGCACTGCTGTTTTTATTAGAGGTAACCAGTGTATATTAATAACAGGCCAATTGCCCACACATGAACATAAACAGTTCATATGGGCGGCTAATCTGACGGCCCCATTTCACTCGCAAAGACATACACTATCAAAAGTGAAAATGGACGTTTTTGATTTTTGTCTTAATAATGAGTAATTGCTCCACCAATCCTCAGACATTCAGCAATTCGTCGTGGCATGCTCCTAATCAACCGTCCAATCACGATTTGGGGCAATCTGGCCCACTCCTCTTGCAGTGCCACAGCCAATTCTTGCAGTGTTGTCGGTTGACGTTGACGAACACGTCTACCGATCAAATTAAACGTAACACACTAAAGCAAAGATACGCTTAACAGTAAATCTTATGCAAGAACCGATAGGAAAGCAAACATGGATAGGATAAACCAGCCCGTGGCAGTTTTCATCAACCCTTCCTTGAAGTGTTAAATTTGACAATGAACCCCTCCCACGTGTATTGCGCTATTGCGTGTCGCACATGCAGCTCAGTGGTTCTGTTGGGGCGATAAGTTCTTCATCTGTGAACAAACTCTCAAAGCATATCAAGTGTCCATGACTATTTATCATATCACAACCTGCGTAGGTATTTGCATTTCAATATCCCCTACCTTTTTTGAAGAATGGCTCCTACAAGTGTCCATGTACCACCTCTTTGAGGTCAAACATCCCTTTTCGAACCAATGTGTTCCTCCGACCCCTACCTTAATGGGTCAAGTAGCTTTGTGTGAAAAAGTCTAAATTAGCACTATTCAACCGACGTCGAAATCTATCAAACCGTTTGGAGAAGACGGCAAAACGTTTTTCACCACAACCAACTTAGCTGTCTCGACCCCATGCATATGTGGACGCCCATCTAAGTCGAAAGACAACAGTGGCTGATTTTATACCAAAAACAACATTTTATATAAACAAGCGGTTGCCATGAAAGATACGCCCACATTTTCCAAGAGATTGACAGAGAACAAGCTAAATAAAAGAAGCGATTTCTCGTTCAATCAGAGGTCATAATCAAGAAAGTTACTTTATTATTATTATTATTACAGCATATTTATAGTGCACCCTTTCATATAACATGTTCAGGGGCACTTTACAAAGTGACAATGTAAATCACACATAAACAACAAGATTATGGGCATGTTAACGATTGTATAGAGAGTCAGTTAAAAGCCTGATTAAATAAATGTGTTTTAAGTTGTTTTTTAAAAGAATATAGAGATGTACAACATCTTAAACTAAATGGTAGATTATTCCATAAAACAGGTGCTTGATAACTAAAAGAGCGCTGACCATAAGAGACTAGTTGAACAGTTTTGGGCTTTAAAAGTAGTTTATCTGATGTACGTAATGTTCGGCCAGGTGTATAAAGTTCTAAAAGATCTGAGAGGTAAACAGGAGCTAAATTATTTAAACATTTAAAAGTAAGTAATAAAATCTTAAAATCAATTCGATATTTAACAGGTAACCAGTGTAAATTATATAAAACAGGAGTTATGTGGTCACATTTCTTAGTTAAAGTAACAAGTCTAGCCGCAGTATTCTGTACTTTTTGTAATTTATCTGCGAGCGTGCTTCTTTTGTGTTAGCTTGACGTATTTTAAGATTTCTTATGTTGAGGGGTGCGTAGCTCTAATACATCGAAGCACACAGCGCTCTCACAATACTTGTTATTCAAGAAGCTTTAATCTATAAGAAACATAAGTACTAATTATTTGACGTCGATCTGGGTTTATTAACGAATGAACATGAATAACACAAATAAAGATATATGAAATCATAATTAAAACATCATTTACAAATTATCTAGTAATGAATAGTTGAATATATAAAGTAAGCATATATTATGTGATCAAGTGCAATTGTAAGCTATTTCACATTATCATATTATGCATAAAAGAAACATACATTTATCAATAGCAAATATAAAGTATTATCATATTATGTGAATAAGTATAGTAAACTATTACACATTATAATATTAGGAATAACATAAACATATATACTAAATGAATTATTAGGCGACACAATTATAAACTAACTCACCTATAAGAAACATAAGTACTAATTATTTGACGTCGATCTGGGTTTATTAACGAATGAACATAATTGTTCGTATTTCGTCTCTTATATTTATACCCAGTCGCTATCGCCAACTTAATATCTTAATAATAATTACACTAGAATTATTTGAACATATACATGATAAGGGTTAACCATATAATACAAAATGTGATATAAATTAACATATTTACATTACTGAGACGTAACTCAAATATAGGTACATACTAAATCAATGACTAGGATGCATGTTAAGTAATATTAAATTATTTTAAGATTGTTGTGTAGAAAAGGTAAATAGATAAGACAGTGCGTCCAGATTAGAACGATCAGGGTTCGGAGTAAAGATTAACTTATCCACTTTAAAGCAATTAATCAATTAAGATAAGTAAATACATGTATATCAAAATATGTACTATAACAACACCCCGTCGCCCCGAAAAACGCTTTTCTCCGTAAAAGCAAACAATAATTCACACACAGTAGGTGTTTAAAATGATTATAGACTAATTCAATTAATGAAATAAATTTACAAAATATATCAAGACTAAGCATAACACTAAGTAATGGGCAATTTAAATGTTGCAGGCAACAATTAACAACCCATTAGTTTTAAAATATAAAATACTGAACTTAATAGGTACATATAAATGAAACATTAATGCAACACTTCATATAATCCATGGTGAGACACTAAAATATTAGTAGCAAATGGTTGTGACAGTATTGTGCGAATACGTCGTGCCGAAAAAAGAGTCAGTTGAATCGAACTTGGGATATTTAGCGATTGACCGGTGAACTTATTAGCAATTTTGAAATTTGTCCAAGTTATATGAAGTGAAGGTCTAATCATGTTTTGTACATACAATTCAGTAATGGTCTCTGGTAGCATAAAATTCCAATAGGAAGGACATAATGACAGGGACATAACAGGGACAATTTCACACAATGAACCTGTTGTTAATTCTAATAACAATATAGTATGAGCAGTTTTCTTTTGATATAATTTATATGAAATTATAACGAGGAGAATAATACAGATAATAGTAAGTATTAAAGGCACATATTCCAACATTAAAGGCACTAAGTTATAATTTACTCCAGGTTTTGGAGTGGTAAATGCATATTCGAATGAGGGTAAGCTACTGGAACGTACGTAGGGAGATTTATGGAGAAGTAATATTAGTGCAGACAAGCGTCTTATTTTGGAGAACATCCATATAAAAGCGAGTAATGCCAGTACAGAAAATCCAAGTGCAATAACAGTTAAACCCGATGATAAACTCCAAAATGAAGAATTAACATTTATTTGACCATCTAAAAGTGATTCAGTGAGACTCTGTAGAATAACGGCATTATTTTAAACGCTATTGGACATTCGACTGAGACTTAAATGATCTTTTTGATCTTTAGCAATTATAGAATTAAATTTATGAGAATACATGTGGAAATTTGGTATAGTAACTGGAATAGGTGTGTGAAAAAGTGAATGTGCCGAAATATTCTCAAGACGTTTATCGTCGAAAAATTGCTGTAGTAAGGCAAGATTGACAGGATGTAAAAAAGTGACATTTTCTTTTGCAAACTGATTACATGTTCCTAAATGTGCTGGATAAATAAATTGAGAAGTAGTAACTGTACATAAACAAGGGATATTCATAATACAAAATGTGATATAAATTAACATATTTACATTACTGAGACGTAACTCAAATATAGGTACATACTAAATCAATGACTAGGATGCATGTTAAGTAATATTAAATTATTTTAAGATTGTTGTGTAGAAAAGGTAAATAGATAAGACAGTGCGTCCAGATTAGAACGATCAGGGTTCGGAGTAAAGATTAACTTATCCACTTTAAAGCAATTAATCAATTAAGATAAGTAAATACATGTATATCAAAATATGTACTATAACATATCTATAAGCTTTAAAGGTAAACCAACTAAAAGTGAATTAAAGTTATCTAATCGAGAAGTGACCAGAGAATTAACAAGTGACTTAGTGGCCTCTACAGTTACACATTTACGTATTTTACCTATATTTCTAATATTAAAATAGCACAATTTACAAATATTATTTACTTGAGCTCCCATAAGCATAAAACTATCAAAGATAGCGCCAATATTACGAGCAGAATAAGATGAAAATATATCACAATTACCAATTACAACAGGGGGGTTATCTTGTGCAGATTTACTTAATTGATGCATTGAGCCTAATAACAAATATTCGGTTTTATCATCATTCAATTTTAGAAAGTTCTTTGACATCCATTTTCTAATTTCACTAATACAGTTCTCAAGTTGCAATTTTGATAAATTGAAAGAAGATGGACAATTAGGTGTAAATGAAATATATAATTGAGTATCATCGGCATACAAATGAGTTTAAAATTGGGAAACAGGTAAAGCCCATATAAGCCCCCACCTAAAAATTTTACATGTTGTAGTAATATTGATGGCGAGATTTGTGCAAAGGAACACATATGTATAATAATAGTATGGCCTTAACTAATTATTGTTTACAGATTCATAGTCAAGTAAAATAGATAGCACGTGAAACAACGGAAATCTCTGATAATATGATACATATGTTTTATCTGCCTTCTCCATTGTCAAAAAATTAACTTTGGTATGAGTTTATTTGGAAATAAAAACACGTGATTGGAAAATTACCATTACATCATTGGGCTGAGTAACCAATCATCATAATTAATTACGTAATATTTGATCAATTAAATAATGGGCAACTTTGGGACACCGTGTAGATTTGGAGAGAGAGCAAATATACGTTGTAGATTCGTTGGGAGAGACCATTGAGGTTCAAAATGTCCTGTTAAGTCGTAGGAGAGCCATACATGTAGTGGGACCCGTCAGTAAACTCGTTCTACGAAATGGTTGGGTTTGAGAGAGTAGAGCATGATTTTATTTTAATATATCCAGTACTTTCCACATATAGCGACGCATAGCACTGCCCACAATTACAATGTACAGAAATAAAACAAACTAGAACTGCGATGCAGTAATGACGGGTTTCACCGGTGCCACGTTACCCTAAACATATGTCACTTCCGGTACCAATGAAACCATTAAACAGGTTTCCACCTCATCATTGCACACATCAAATAAAATGGACGCCGAATCAACCAAATCCAGCAATATCAATTCATTTTATATATTTGTTACATGTAAGTGTACAGTACTTCCGGTGATAATGAAAATATTCAATTAGTTTTATGAAATCAGAAATGGCATAAGGCATCACATGGTGAAAATTTTATGTAAATCGAATAATAATTGCCACTTTTATAGACCAAAAACCTTAAAAAGTGACTTGTAGAAAACCGTCAATTCCTCTGCAACCATACAAGTTAGAAACCATTTTCTGGAATCTGTATGATTGTATGGGTTTATTCTATTTGTTGATTGGAATCAAATATCATAATTTTAAAAACATAACAACTCAGACTCATTTGAATAAAATATCTGTTTTGAAAGCTAAAAATACAGTTTTTGCCAAAATGACGTTACTTCCGGTGATAATGAAAATCTTAAATTACTTGTATGAAATCGTAAATGGCATTAGGTATCACATAGTGAAAATTTCATGAAAATCGAATAATAATTGACACTTTTATGGACAAAAAACCTTGAAAAGTGACCTGTTGAAAATTACCTATTTCTCTACAACTGAACAAGTTAGAAACCATTTTGTGATACCTATATGATCGTATGGGTTCATTCTATTAGTTGATTAGAATCAAATATCAAAATATTAAACAAACAACAAATACGACTCATTTCAATAAATTATTTGTTTCTAAGGCTATTAATACAGTTTTTACCCAAATTTCGTCATTTCCGGTGACATGGAAAATGTTAAATTAAGTTGAACTAGTCACAATTGACATTATGCATCAAATGGTGTCACTTTTATGAAAATCCAATAATAATTGACTCTTTTACAGACACAATAGCGTAAAGAGTGACTCATGCAAAATTGACCATTTCTCGGCAACTGCTCATATTACAAACTAATTTTGAGATAGATTCTCTTCGTATGGATTAATGCTACAAGTTTATGAAAGTTGCGAAGAAATATTTTAAAATATGAAAAGCCTGAATGGGTTGTAAATAGCTCATTTTTTCACCTTTTTTCACCTTTAAATCAAAATGACCCGAAAACGAAATCGAAATTAAAAAAACTGAGCCCGATGTTTTCTGCGCCTTTACAGGGCACACACTTTCAGTCATACCAGATTTGAAAAAAATAATATTTGCTTTCAAAAAGTGGTACCGAACTGTCAAAATTGTAGTTTTTGCTAAATTTACGTCACTTCCGTTGCCGAAAGGTAACTTTACCGGTACCAAAAAAATGACATTTTGGATTACGGAGCATATGAACTTTGTTTTATACAAATCGAGCAATAAATAATTAATCCAGGACTGAAAAACTGAATTAGCCAATGGGGGTCAAGGAAATTTACGATGACAAAAAATGGTGCCATTTTTGGTCAAATCAGATGACTCTTTAACCCTGGGTAAAATACCACATTAAAATATTCATGAATAAAAAAGTTTTTTGTAAAAATTTAAATTTTCAAAATTTGGCGCCTAAATATCTCCGACGATTCGTGGAAAATCAAAAATCTAAAGAACCATGGCTATGTGCCTTGTCTCTGGCTATGTCAAAATGTATCCAATGTTAAAATCCGACGATTATTGTTAATATTACGGCAATATTTCAAAAATCGACAAATTCGACGATTTCGGACATTTCGCATTGTCGCAGAACGTTCGAAATAGCTTTAATCTCTAAGTCACACCCACTTTTCCAGTTAAACCGAAGACATCGAATCAATCCGACAAGTAGTTTCTGAGATACAATCAAATTGGAAAAAAAAAAATTAATTTGTCTATATCAAACCCCTTTCAAACTATTTTAATTCGAAGAATACTATCCCATGCCGAGAGAATAGGTCGCTGTCATAAAATTCGAAACGTGAGAGGGTCGTCATATTTGTTGTTACAGTACATACCTGACCCCGACATTGAAAATGTCTAGAATGGTTCTTTTCACAAATTAGTGCTATGTGTCCCCATGAAAGTGACAAATCATTTCATATGACAATTACAGTACTTTTCCTCGGTAGAGAAATTGATCTAGTTAAAAGATGTTTACAGACCTCAACGTTCTTTTGGGGTTTTACAGATGAACTCCCTGAAGCAGGGTTACGCCCCTTAAATGCCCTTGACTCTACAGTCGCTTGAACTACAGTCGAATCTGAACCACAAGACGGCATACTTAACTTTTTTTGTGCTTCGGGAATCGGTTGTTTCCCAATGCGAATTTTGTATTTTTCTCTTAAAGTTGGGGTGACTACCGGTTCTAAGTAGTTATCTCCGTTACTCTCATTGATTAGGCTAACATTCACGTCCCTTTTCTTCGGGAGCTCAGGGGGGTTTGAAGAAACGACTGCTGGTTTATTTAAATTGCGAACCTCCTCATATTCATTTCCAATTTCTAATTGGAGTTTTTTACTAAACGCTTTCAACAATCTATCGAATAATGTCGTTTTTCGCTTCTTTTGTGTTTGAATTGGAAGGTTTGGTTGGGTGGATATGTGGTCGTAATAATGTCTACTCTCTCTAGATCTATCCCCCATCGTTTGATATGTATCATCCTTTTGTCTACGTGTCCATTTCTTTATCACTGAAAATAAAATGGTGATTTTATCAGTCTAATTGCTGATGATATACGGCGGCGGTAAATATTTTGTCGGTGTTACAAGAAATTTTCTAGTCTAATTAAAATTATACCAATATTTCATGCATGATAATACATTAAACACAATAAAAAATACAAATATAAGCACTATTTAAAGTTCGACATAATTGAATTGATAAATTTGCAAAGTTGACTGGTTATGTTATATTCATCAGTTGATACATATTCAGGGCATATTCTGTGATGGAAACATTCATCTAAATACAGTTTTCTATCATTGCTAAAGTATCCACATGATAACAAATAGATGTATTCATCTGTCACCACCAAACTACAAATGGGACAAACAGTTTTTTTCTTAAGTTTTTTTAAAGCGTTTTCCAAAATTCTATGGGGATTAAAGTTTTTAACGTGCTCACTCATGGTGTCAACTGGCAGACTATCGCCATTCAGAAGACGGCCACCGTCAAGATCGGTCGAATTACATTCTTCTTGTGTATCAATATTTTTTCCAATGTGAGTGAAACCTGTATTATTACAAATGTAGTGGGTCATTACGGCTGATCCCCGGGTCCATTCAGTTGAATTTATATTAATTTTGTTGTTAAGTTCGTTGTTTAGTTTGTCTTGTATGAGTGTGAAATATAAAGTATAAATTAACACCATACTTTCAGAGATGTTATATTGTTTGTCTAGGTTTATCTCTAGGACAAGAATGACATTAATAGATACTCACCACATAGTATTACGGCCACAATTACCACCAAAATAGAAATTGATGAAATCACCAAAGAACCATATATCACATACACATGTATCGGTAGGCAATTAATTTCGTGATTGACTGAATTTGTCATCTTAGTTGTTGGTTTACTCATAGAAGTTGGGTTTGCCATCTCAACCGTTGTGGTTGCCATCTCAAAAGTTGTTGGTTTGTTGGCACTAGTCAACCTTGCCAATTTGACCATTGTTCTATTATCTACGTTTAAAAGAAAATTAATAAAAACATAAAAAAACAAATTGATTTCTTTGCATTTTATATCATAAATTGTATTTCGATATTCGTTTTAACATAAGGTTTTAATGTCTAATTAATTAAACCTCTCTCATTTAAGTAAACATAAAGATCTGATCTGTTGTTTTATTTCCATTAGTGATTGAGAAGATCTACAGGATTATGTTTCATTTTAAAAGATTTGGCGGAAGTTAATTTGTTCATTAATAGAAGAAGCGGCTTATTAGAGTCGATTATCTAGTTTCGCATTATCTCCGCTAAAAAGTTCGGACTAGATTAGTCTTTATCATTCAGAAAAATATTCTACGAATATTAGTCTGGATGGGTTGTTAACATTTGAGAATAAAAGGTCGGTCGCTAGAGTATCCAGTCTTTTACATTATCATGAACAAAATCTAACGGGGGTAACTAGACAACGCCCATAAAATCATCCAACACTCTTATTTTAATTTTTTGTAAGATTTCTCTCTCCAGGGACCATAACTGTGTTTTTTTAATTAATCCTTATTCGTCGTCACGATTCATGTTTGTTTATAGGATTTGTCATAGGAGATCGGTTCAAAGTTTTGGAGCGTTCGTGTAAATGTGAGACAATATGCTTTGAACATAGACATTTTGCACTGTACTTAATAATAACTGGTTTGTTAACAATAATCTGTCATGGCATATTTGAAACAATGACAATAACTCCACCAGTAATCACCGCCATTCTTTAAATTATGTGTTTACTTTGGTTGTCTAAAACAAAATTTAAAGTAAGGGCAATAACTCTGATCAAAATCATGGAAATTCGTTCTTCAAAAAAACAAGTGCGATAACTATATTAGTATCTTAATGTTAAACAGGGCACATATTTATGTCAGTGTGAACGGGTAGGCTATGTTAACGACAATCCAATGGTGGATTAAGGCTCCATTGTGAAACCATATTATGTAATAATAATATATAATTAATAATATACAATTGTAGGGCGTCAATTCCATTCAAAAGTCTGCTCAAAGCGCAATGAAAAATAGTGAACAGAAAGTCTAATTCTCATAGCACTCCCCAAAGTAGCGAGTCTTCAGGTAAATTGTAAATCATTCCACATTTTAGGAGCAACTATACTAAAACTTCTGTCACCAAAGTATTTTAATTTCGACTTTGGAACGACAAGAGTGTTTTGGTTATAAGATCTCAAGGACCGACTTTGTTGATATGGTGTTAGTAGTTCAGATTTTGCAGAAACTTGCATGTGGGGCACAGGATCTTAAAGTTGATGCAAGCGGAAATTGGGAGTCAATGTAAAGATTTTAGAATAGGTGTTATGTGAGTAGATATTTTGGTTCGTGATATGATTCTGGCTGCTGTGTTCTGTATTTTCTATATTTGGACCTAGAGCTCTATTAAAGATGAAGTGTCAAGCAAAGTGAATTGCAATTCTTTAAAATGGTTATTTTTATGCAAGCTTTTACAAACAAATCATGCGATCGAAGCGTTATTCATTCAAATTATTGATGACAGGGATGTTAGTTAACATGTCAATAGGTACAATACGTGTAATCTTGTTCCGTTATAATGATTTTAAAGAAATTGATGTAGCATTCTGATATCAAATTAATAAAACATTATAACATAAAGCTAGACTCTAAAGCCCAGTTCGGAGTAGAACAGTAGGACGTTAAACCCCATTTCATTTCATTTATTTCTAAAGACCTGATTTAAGTCATCAATACTTTCCCAAATAGATCAACAACAGAGAGTCCTGTGAATAATAGTGATCAGCAACTTCAAGACAGTTTTTACCAACTTCAAGATGAATAAGACAATGAATCATGACGTAAATGCTTTTCAGGGCACTGCGCCATTCTCTATTCCAAACCTAGAACCTTTGTCTACTTGGATATTAAAGGAGAAATCTGCTCTAGATATTAACACTCCAATAACCAACACCTCATTATATTCCACAACAAGGTCAGCTTGTTAGAAGGCAAGCTTGGACCAGTAAATGCCCGGAACCTACTAAACAGGAAAACTATTCTTCATCTTACTCCAACACTAACAATCTTGAAGAACCTTTACAGTTCACTCACAGATCACAGTACTCAGACAACTCTATTCAAGATCAAATCTGACATCGTTTGTGAAATATTGTTATTCTCCTTAGATATGTTTGGCACTATAGACCACCAATTTCCTTTCATAAAATTTCAACTGCAAACTTTAGCAAACAAACTGTGTTATTTCCATATTTTCGTACTTCTATTGCCCTTTACCTTATTATGGGGGATTTAACTTAGATACTCAAATGTGTCCTTCAGAAGGTAGTTTGTTAACGCGTAAAAAGGCCTTAATTGGACTTCAAATGTAAACTGCACTACCATGACAAACTGCCTTTGAAAACTGTGTTGTTGCCAACTGGCGGTTGCTATTATCAACTGTTATATTCATATTAGAAAATCTGAATTCGCCTGGCTTGTATAAAAATATACTATTCAAAAAAAGTAGGGGATATTTGATTTTTAAGTGTTATTAAAGTCACCTAATGAAACTGACGAAGAAACAAATGACAAAATGAAATGAAGTTCACATTCATCGATTTATTCCAAATGATCGTTAGACTAAGTAAGGCACAGACTGACCATTATAAGGGTAAAATGATACCCGGGGTCAAACAGCAAAGTTACCACAGCATCACTACCAAGTCAGTAACGGGTAAATCCTCCTCTGTTTGCCAAACAAGCATTGATCCGACGTGGCATACTCCTAATGAGACGTCTAAGGTCATTTTGGTCCAGATTGTCCCATTCCTGTTGCAACGCAGCAGCAAGTTCTTGGACATTGGCAGGACGTTGTTGACGTTGACGTAACCTCTGTCCAAGCATGTCCCAGACATGCTCGATGGGGGAGAGGTCGGGACTCAGTGCTGGCCAAGGTAATGTGGTGATGTTCTGTTGTTGGAGGTAACCTGTAACGATCCTGGCCCTGTGACATCTTGCGTTGTCATCCTGGAAGATGAAACGGCGGCCATGACGTCGTGCGAACGGCACAACATGGACTGCCAAGATGTTGTCCCGGTAGTACTTGCCTGTAACACGCCCTGCAACAACATGTAAAGCCGTTCTTCCAGCAACAGTGATGCCTCCCCACACCATAACAGAACCACCCCCAAATCGTCTGTCCAAAAAATCAACAGTGAACCTTGACTCATCTGAAAACATCACATTGCTCCAGCGTCGATTATCCCAGTGTTGACGATCCCTACACCAACGACGTCTTGCCTGAATGTGATGATCTCTCAAACAAGGGATCACGCGAGGACGTCGGGCGCGAAGGTGACCCATATGCAGTCGATTCCGAATCGTCTGGCCACTCACTCTCACACCAGTGTCTGTTTGAAGACGAGCGCTGATCTGATTTGCTGTGATGACACGATTTCTCAAGGCCAAGGTACGGATAAATCGATCCTGGGCTTGAGTTGTCGCCCTTGGTCGTCCGCGCCACAACCGCCTGTGTTGTGCCGATCTGTAGCATGCCAAGGGCACGTAACCTTTCATTTTGGGTAAGCCGACGCATATCAAAATTTGTTTTCTGGTCACTAAAACAATTAAACTGATGTTTCCACCCTGGAATTCAATGCCACAATGACTGTAACATTCAAAGTCAGAGTCGTGCAAATCTTGGGTTGGACCCCCATGATAATCCCAAGCATCACCTGCATTCCATGCGGTAGCTATTGGTGCGTTTGGGCGTCACATGTAACTGGAAATGTTTCTTCTGTTAGGTTCTATAGTGACTTTTTTCGTAGTCATTTGCATATTTTAGTATTATGCCCCCAAAATCAAATATCCCCTACTTTTTTTGAATAGTATAATATTATGAACAAGAACAGTGAAAGATGGGGACGTAAAACAGTAGAAACTAATATAGCTATAGTGGAGACTTAGAAGGTCCTATACTTTACTGCACCAACCGGGTTAATCAAAGACAGTAGACAACTCAAACTGTCAAGGATTCTTTTACTGTTACTTGCCAAGCCATCCGCCCTGCAGCACTAAAAAGAGAAAACCACGGGGAAAAATCCCGGGGAACTCGCTGGGCCACCATCGGTATCAAACCGCTATGGGGTCCGGTTTACGAAATGTTAACTAACATAAAATCCAAATTTAATTATCGGATTGGGTAAAGTTTGGATTTTATCTTTAGTTAAGATTTCGAGAAACAGGACCCAGGTAAGTTAGGTCCTTCCGGAACGGGGTGGGGGTGTTGGATGTAAATCATTCCACATTTTAGGAGCAACTATACTAAAACTTCTGTCACCAAAGTATTTTAATTTCGACTTTGGAACGACAAGAGTGTTTTGGTTATAAGATCTCAAGGACCGACTTTGTTGATATGGTGTTAGTAGTTCAGATTTTGCAGAAACTTGCATGTGGGGCACAGGATCTTAAAGTTGATGCAAGCGGAAATTGGGAGTCAATGTAAAGATTTTAGAATAGGTGTTATGTGAGTAGATATTTTGGTTCGTGATATGATTCTGGCTGCTGTGTTCTGTATTTTCTATATTTGGACCTAGAGCTCTATTAAAGATGAAGTGTCAAGCAAAGTGAATTGCAATTCTTTAAAATGGTTATTTTTATGCAAGCTTTTACAAACAAATCATGCGATCGAAGCGTTATTCATTCAAATTATTGATGACAGGGATGTTAGTTAACATGTCAATAGGTACAATACGTGTAATCTTGTTCCGTTATAATGATTTTAAAGAAATTGATGTAGCATTCTGATATCAAATTAATAAAACATTATAACATAAAGCTAGACTCTAAAGCCCAGTTCGGAGTAGAACAGTAGGACGTTAAACCCCATTTCATTTCATTTATTTCTAAAGACCTGATTTAAGTCATCAATACTTTCCCAAATAGATCAACAACAGAGAGTCCTGTGAATAATAGTGATCAGCAACTTCAAGACAGTTTTTACCAACTTCAAGATGAATAAGACAATGAATCATGACGTTAATGCTTTTCAGGGCACTGCGCCATTCTCTATTCCAAACCTAGAACCTTTGTCTACTTGGATATTAAAGGAGAAATCTGCTCTAGATATTAACACTCCAATAACCAACACCTCATTATATTCCACAACAAGGTCAGCTTGTTAGAAGGCAAGCTTGGACCAGTAAATGCCCGGAACCTACTCAACAGGAAAACTATTCTTCATCTTACTCCAACACTAACAATCTTGAAGAACCTTTACAGTTCACTCACAGATCACAGTACTCAGACAACTCTATTCAAGATCAAATCTGACATTGTTTGTGAAATATTGTTATTCTCCTTAGATATGTTTGGCACTATAGACCACCAATTTCCTTTCATAAAATTTCAACTGCAAACTTTAGCAAACAAACTGTGTTATTTCCATATTTTCGTACTTCTATTGCCCTTTACCTTATTATGGGGGATTTAACTTAGATACTCAAATGTGTCCTTCAGAAGGTAGTTTGTTAACGCGTAAAAAGGCCTTAATTGGACTTCAAATGTAAACTGCACTACCATGACAAACTGCCTTTGAAAACTGTGTTGTTGCCAACTGGCGGTTGCTATTATCAACTGTTATATTCATATTAGAAAATCTGAATTCGCCTGGCTTGTATAAAAATATACTATTCAAAAAAAGTAGGGGATATTTGATTTTTAAGTGTTATTAAAGTCACCTAATGAAACTGACGAAGAAACAAATGACAAAATGAAATGAAGTTCACATTCATCGATTTATTCCAAATGATCGTTAGACTAAGTAAGGCACAGACTGACCATTATAAGGGTAAAATGATACCCGGGGTCAAACAGCAAAGTTACCACAGCATCACAACCAAGTCAGTAACGGGTAAATCCTCCTCTGTTTGCCAAACAAGCATTGATCCGACGTGGCATACTCCTAATGAGACGTCTAAGGTCATTTTGGTCAGATTGTCCCATTCCTGTTGCAACGCAGCAGCAAGTTCTTGGACATTGGCAGGACGTTGTTGACGTTGACGTAACCTCTGTCCAAGCATGTCCCAGACATGCTCGATGGGGGAGAGGTCGGGACTCAGTGCTGGCCAAGGTAATGTGGTGATGTTCTGTTGTTGGAGGTAACCTGTAACGATCCTGGCCCTGTGACATCTTGCGTTGTCATCCTGGAAGATGAAACGGCGGCCATGACGTCGTGCGAACGGCACAACATGGACTGCCAAGATGTTGTCCCGGTAGTACTGGCCTGTAACACGCCCTGCAACAACATGTAAAGCCGTTCTTCCAGCAACAGTGATGCCTCCCCACACCATAACAGAACCACCCCCAAATCGTCTGTCCAAAAAATCAACAGTGAACCTTGACTCATCTGAAAACATCACATTGCTCCAGCGTCGATTATCCCAGTGTTGACGATCCCTACACCAACGACGTCTTGCCTGAATGTGATGATCTCTCAAACAAGGGATCACGCGAGGACGTCGGGCGCGAAGGTGACCCCTATGCAGTCGATTCCGAATCGTCTGGCCACTCACTCTCACACCAGTGTCTGTTTGAAGACGAGCGCTGATCTGATTTGCTGTGATGACACGATTTCTCAAGGCCAAGGTACGGATAAATCGATCCTGGGCTTGAGTTGTCGCCCTTGGTCGTCCGCGCTACAACCGCCTGTGTTGTGCCGATCTGTAGCATGCCAAGGGCACGTAACCTTTCATTTTGGGTAAGCCGACGCATATCAAAATTTGTTTTCTGGTCACTAAAACAATTAAACTGATGTTTCCACCCTGGAATTCAATGCCACAATGACTGTAACATTCAAAGTCAGAGTCGTGCAAATCTTGGGTTGGACCCCCATGATAATCCCAAGCATCACCTGCATTCCATGCGGTAGCTATTGGTGCGTTTGGGCGTCACATGTAACTGGAAATGTTTCTTCTATTAGGTTCTATAGTGACTTTTTTCGTAGTCATTTGCATATTTTAGTATTATGCCCCCAAAATCAAATATCCCCTACTTTTTTTGAATAGTATAATATTATGAAAAGGATTCTTTTACTGTTACTTGCCAAGCCATCCGCCCTGCAGCACTAAAAAGAGAAAACCACGGGGAAAAATCCCGGGGAACTCGCTGGGCCACCATCGGTATCAAACCGCTATGGGGTCCGGTTTACGAAATGTTAACTAACATAAAATCCAAATTTAATTATCGGATTGGGTAAAGTTTGGATTTTATCTTTAGTTAAGATTTCGAGAAACAGGACCCAGGTAAGTTAGGTCCTTCCGGAACGGGGTGGGGGTGTTGGATGGCCGAATGGTTAGCGCGTGCGCGCTGTATCATAAGGTCTGTCATTGAGTCAACTGGCGTGGTTTCGATTCCCCGATTGTAAATGACAAGGAGTAGGGTCGCCTGTGCAACTTCGTGGGTTTTCTACTTTCCTCCGGTCCTACGGTCTCCTCCCACTGCTAAAGACCTCTACGCGCAAGCGAATTATTGACATAAAATTGAATCATGTGTTAGTTAGTCCCGAAATGACCAAATTTGTGTCGGATGGATGTTAAACGCCATTTCCCCCCCCCCCTTCGGAATGGACTTTCACGGACGAGGTTGTCTGACCATTCCTGTCCATCCCTATAAGGTTCAATATGAAAATTTCACCCTACCCCACATCTAGCACAATTTATAATAACTCAATACTATTTTAAGCAGAATTTTGAGATTCAAAACAGAAACAAAATGCGTTTGAATTGGACCGACATTAGGAGACTCGTGCATGCGCAACTTGCTGTCTTTTGTTTGTTTTTGAATCGCAAAATTCTAGTTGAAAAACATGTTGGAGTATCTTAACTTTATGTCAGATGTGGTGAGAACAGATTACTTTTAGCGAACAAAGATTATAAATGCGGAGAAAAATAGATGGTAACGACTCAAAAATAGTCTTAGAGGTGGGGGTAGTTAGTACAAAAGGGACATTCACATGCAATACGGGTTAATATTTACTTTTTAAAGATAAATTCAAGTTTTCTTTTCTTATATCTAAAAACTTAAGTAGAAAATACCATTAAAGAAATTTTATTTAAATGCCTACATGTTTCGCCGCTGGGTTTTCAAGGCAATAATGGATAATGGCGTTACATCATTATGTAGCGTCATTATGGAGAGATAGTTACAATAATTTTTCATATAAATTAAAACGAAATAATATCACTGGTTACTGGTTTGAGTTTGAATTTGTTTATAAAATACTCTTCTTTAACTCTTAATTTTGTGATATTATTATCAGACAGTTTATAAAAGGGGAAATATGAAAATGTGGCGATTTATTTTTAGCACACTCCGCGATATGCCCACTTAATGGGATTTTGCGGTATATTTCCTCTTATATATGCTGTTTATGTACTGTCACACGCTTCCGTAATTCATTTGTGGATCCAATGTATAATAATAATTCATTACACCCAAGGCATGTAATTACATATACTACATATGTGACAGAGCATATGATAATACTATTTATTTTAAATGGAAAACTATTAAAGTTAAAAGAATTGCCTTCAATCAAGTAATCGCCCGTTCCACAGTTTCCTCGTCCACATTTTGTTACCGCGTACTCTATTTCGACACTATCATATTTAGTTCTTGTTAGCATCTTTTTTAAGCTTTGTGGTTGGCGCTTTCAAGGAATGAACTTTGTTTCTTTAAGGATTTTGTTCATTCGTTCACTACGTCTCAGTAGAGCAAAGTTAACCCGGAGTACATTGGTCATATTTAGGTTTCGAGGATTGTACGTGGAGATGGATGGTATGCACTTTTCTTTTGTTATTTTTGGTCTCACTGTTCTAAGTTCTAAAATATCAAATGCCTTCGCAAATGCCTTTGATTAAAGTTAAAGGGTATTTACGGTCATGTAGAAAGGTTCTTAATTCTGATAATCTGAGTTCTAAAGTTAAAGGATTTGAGACAAGTGTGCAGATTCTCCTTGCAAGATTGTAAGGCAATGCTTTTTTGGTATGACTCGGATGACAAGAGTCAAAATATAAATATTGTTTGGTGTCCGTACTTTTGTAAAAAAAAATATCTGTTTCTATTTTATTATCATCAGCTTTTAGCACCATAATATCCAAAAATGATATTTTCTTGTCACTTGTTTCAACGGTAAATTGTATTTTTTGCCGAATGCTATTTAGAATTTCACTGAAGATGGATAATTGATCTAGATTTTTGAGCCAAATAAAAAAACAATCATCTAGGAATCTTTTCCATTGTTTCTCAAAGTATATTCTTGTTTCATGGTCAATAATGCTATCTCAACTTTTTCCGCAATTTTTCATAATTTATCAAAAATGAATTCAAATAGTTTTCTTTATTTTTATTAATTGTAAAATACATTATAATATACGCCGGACATGTATATTTATATAGACATGTATACATATGTTGGGATATATAATATTTAAAGTAGTCTACATTATCTGGTCACACCATAGTATTCAAAATAATTAGAAATACATTGTAAAACTTTCATTTAACATATCCCTCAAAAAAAATATCCCAACATGCTTGCAAACATATACACATTTATGGACAGAGAAACAGACCACGTTTGAGTTTATATAAAAAATACAAATTACATGTATACAAAAATCACAACGAAAAGTTTAAATCTACAATTATTGCACATTTTGACAATCACTATAACAATCTTTTAGTCCTCTTTTCTTCCACAGCAGAACAATGATAACAGTCTTACGCGAACTGATCTTCTGGATTTTGTTACTTTTTCTGAAAAATAAAATGTATAAATATTATACAAAGGCATTATATTAAAATGAAACCATCCATGGAGATATCTATCCTATAGACCTATAGATAATCTATCATCAATTTAATATCTGCTTGATATGTATTACCAGTCTCGATCCCAGAGATAAGTTTACCCTGTTTTGTTTAAACGAAGGGTAAAATTATCGCTTGAATAGAGATTGGTGTATTACCTGGGATGTTATAAGTTTCATAAACCCGTGATATTATTTACCGTTCAATCTGTCGTCTTTTTTCCTGTTGTTATTTGTATACTGAGTATATTTGTGGTCACGATCAACAGGTCTTCCATAGTTATAGTTAAATAGATTGTAAAATTTATTTAAAGGATCTGGCTCTACGTTACTTTCTTTCGATTCTGTAGTAAACTTGTTCAATCTTTTCAACCTGAAATCGATCCCCTCGTACCAAAACCCCCAAACAGACAACAATATCCTCCATCTATAATATTGTCTTCAATCTCATCAGCTTCTATATATTTTTCTTTTTTCATTATTTTATCAAAACACGAAGTCTTCATTATGTCTGCACCAGTCTTTATTCTAGACGATTCTTCTCTTTCTTCTGTAGATGACCCTTCTACGCAAATCGTCCATCATATTTGCTACTAAAATTGATCGTGGTTTATGTGTTTCGTTGAATTTTGCACGGGCATCATTCTTTAACTGACTCTTCTCTTCTTTCTGTAGCTGACTCTTCTCTACCTCCTTATTCTCTTTCCAAATCGTCCAGCATATCTGATACCAAATTATAATTCTCTATTTCAACTAAAAGCGCTTGGACATTTTACTCTTCCCGACATTTCATAGGCTGAAAAATGTTTTTAAAAAAAGAAGAATAAAATTGGAAAATAAATTTACAATATAGACGTTGTATATTTTCCACCCTATATACAACAGTAATTAGGGGGGGGGGGGGCGTTGGGTGGCCGAATGGTTAGGTGTGTGCGTTGTATTTTTATCGTAGGGTCTGTCATTGAGTCAAACCCCATTTCTCTCTTTCTCACATCAGTAATTAGAGAAATAAAAGAGCCCGAGCAATCGGTACTAAAATTCAGCTACACTTATTCTATGTATTTAAGTTATGTCATCGAATGATAACTATTAATGATAATTACCTTTTCGCTGGCATATTATTTCTTGTCTTATAGACGTTCTCATTATTAAAGATCTTACAATATATACTGTAAATAATATAAAATAACAGTATAAAATATAATATAGACATATTTTACACAATAAAATAACAGTATGAAATATAATATAGACATTTTTTGCTCAATAAAATAACAGTATAAATTAAATGTAGACATATTTTACACAATATAATAATTTGAATGCAATTTATTAACATTGTTCGCCATACTTTCTATAATATTGATTTCACTGATCTTTCAGCGTTGTGATTATTTTCCCAAGTCTACGACAAATTGAATCAAAAATATAAAGAAAAGTTTGAAATATTTAACTTGTAATATTAACAACTCACCTGACAGTTGAAATAACAATTTTCCAGATAATGCGCAGGAAAATACAAGTTTTAGCTAGATAATAAGCTAAATTCGAAAGAATGGTTATAGCTGTGACGTCATATCATTATGCCGTCACAATGGACATAATTAACAATCATCTAATTAATATTTCTGGTTAGTTGTTATGCGTCGTCTGGTAAATCGAATGTCAATTAACTGACGTAAAAATGCCGATTATTATTATCATTACATAAAATTTGCATTTCATATATAATGTGTTCAGGGACATTTTACAAAGTGACAACACCCCCCCCCCCCAAAAAAAAAATAAATAAAAATAAAATAAACTAAAACAAGACCCCCCCCCCCCAAAAAAAAAAAAAAAAAAAAACCAACCTATAAGATTATGCACATGTTAACGGTTATATAAAGTGTTAGTTAAAAGCCTGTTTTAATAAAAAAAAAGTTTGTTTTAAGTTGGGTTTTTTTAAAAAGCATATTGAGATGCGTTTGTAAACAAGAAGAGGGCTGACCAAATGAGACTAGATAAACAGTTTTGGGCTTTAAAAGTAGTGTATCGGATGTATGTAATATTCGGCCAAGTGTATACAGTTCTAAAAGATCGGAGAGGTAAACATAAAAGTAAATCTTAATGTTTCTAAAACTGTTACCATTACCTTTATTAGTATCAAAATCAATATAAACTGTAGCATTATTTGGGTGGCCTATCACATTGCAATACCAGGTACCTTTATCTTTCACTTGTATAGCTTGTAGACATAATTCAGCTCCTGTTGATGTTATTGTACATTCGCTGTCAATCCGACGATCCCAGATTGCTGCATCAAGATATTCATCAATTTGACACGATAAATTACCATTATTGTCATAAAAGTTTAAAGGAAAACTATCGTTTTTTGTATTACACTTCAAACAGGCTGTGTCGCCAACACTATATTTTTTCTTGTCACTGACCATATATGGATCTGATAAAAGCAAAGAAGATAATTACATCTTTCTGAAGATTTCTTTTCAAAAGAACAATGTACTTATATTGGAAACTGAATCGGTCTTGTAGTTTTTGTAACCACTAAAATCTCCATTACATGAATGTCACGGCGGTGACGGATCATAATGGTTAATACGAGTGTCTTATAAAACAATCATCTATTGCATTGCGGATTATATAAGAAATTGAATTCTGTAGCTCTGATAGATTTCATGAATTTGGGACAATCATATTATTCACATTGTGTGAAAGAAATATACTCCTTTGACGTTACCCCAATGAAGGTTGCGTTGATTAATGTTGATTAATAAGTATTCATTGTATTGCTTTGTTGTTTATTATATTTCTTCTATAGTTATACTTGTATTTAGGAGAGAGGTCATATAAGCTATACTTGTTCCTCAATCCCTATAAAATTCTGAATAAAATATTGTTCTAAAAAAGAAGGCTGCATGTTTGTCAATAAATCTACTTATCAAGATATTTCAAGGGAGGTATTTTTTTTATGAAATACCCAAATATCTAGCCCCGACGATTATAACTGAACATCACCAGCTATCGGTTTACATCACCAAAATATAATATTTAGATCAGATTTGTTTTCTTTTATTTTTTCTTTTTTTTCTTTTTTTTTTACGTTTAGATAAAAAATTTCCTCTTACTTTTGATTTTCTACTTTTTACTATAGATCGTATGTTGATTGAACCGGACACCCTCTATTATAGGATGAAAGAGGGTAGCTTTTTTATTTGAAATATGAATAGTGTGGATTAATACAGATGTTAAACTCTCCGGGAATTGAAATATCTGGTTATTACACATGTGACTATGAGATATTAACTCATTCAATGTACTTTACTTTTCAAATGAAAATTGTCATGTCATACTATGGTGGCCCATGGTCGCAATAGCGTTTTTTGGGTTATTTTTGGTATTTCATTTAAAATAATAAAAATATTATTACAAAAAAAAAAAGAAACATTTTTTTTTTTACAAAATAAAAAAAAATAATCTTTTAAAATTTAAAAAAAAAAATCTTTTTAAAAATTAAAAAAAAAAATCTTTTTAAAATTTAAAAAAAAAAAATCTTTTTAAAAATTAAAAAAAAAAAATCTTTTTAAAATTTAAAAAAAAAAAATCTTTTTAAAATGAAAAAAAAAAATCTATATATATATATATATATATATAAAAATAATAAAATATTTAAAAAAAAATAAAAAAGAAATAATATTAAAAAAAAAATTAAATGAAAAAAAAAAAAAAAATTGAAAAAGAAAAGATAAAAAATAATTCCCGACGTGGCCCATCGTCGCAATAGTGTCTTGAGTATCCAGACCCAGTATACAGCTATCATTAGACTAGAGCGACCAGAAACATTTTGTGGCCCATTGTTGCAGTAGTATCTCGATTATCATGTGTGGGATCTATGAAGAACGTATAGACCCGAACGACAAGAAACGAGTCTGTAGTTATCTCACGTCAACATAATTGTAGATACTTCAATTTTGATTGGCTAAGCACTACAATAAATCTAATATTATCTATTATCCAATCAGTTACTAAAATTTGAATTTTATTTTAGTAAAACAGGCCCCAGACGAAGTCCACGTAGGCTATCATGCTCTATTCTGTCTTTGAAATTGATGTTGTGCGCCATCGCACTTTCGCACCTCTCACCCGTTCCTGTGGTCGTAGCGGGGGACTAGCGATGACCTCAGGGAGAGCAGGGGTTTCACAAAAACTGAAGCTAAAATCACTAACATAGATTTTAAAATCAAAGTGAAATTTTAAATTTATGCGTTTCACGAAGATCGATTGTAACTTAAAATTTAATTTTAATAGATTTTAGTTAAAATTACTTGTGCCTTGATGTGAGGTAACTATAGACTCGTTTCTTGTCGCTCGAGTCTATACCATACGTTCTTCATAGATCCCACACAGGATAATCTGAACGACAGACCCACGATGTTTGACAGGTCACCCTACTCCTTGTCACGTACAACCGGGGATTCGAAATCACGCCAGTTGACTCAATGACGGGCTTTATGATATGACAGGCTTTATGATACAGCGCGCACGTGCTAACCATTCGCCCCCCCCCCCGGCTACTTAGTAGTAGTAGGCCTATACTTCGAGGATTAGTTTCAAAGTTGTTAACTACGTTTGAAATTCAACCTCAGGGAGACCAAGTGTTTTAAAAACATTACATAAGCCTTTTGAGGGGAGAATAGGCCTTGCGCACTAGTAGGCCGAATGGTGTCATTAAAGTCAATGACTTCAAACGTCATTATGTATGTAGGCCTAGTTCTAGTTAGACTGGATAAACTAGTCTAAATGACGCTAGGCTTCTATAGTCTATTAATTATACATTTCTATTGACTTGCATATGTATAAATACATATATCCAAGTCCATAGACGTCATGGGTGGAAAAATTGTGTTTCACGTGTTGATGTCTGTTTACCTTTTTCCTTTCGGAAGGGGAGATAACTACAAACTCGTTTCTTGTCGCTCGAGTTATGCCACATAGGATAATCGAGACACTATAGCAACAACCGGCCACGAGGTATTTCTGGTCACTCGAGTCTAATGATAGCTGTCGTAGGCTGATTTTATACTGAGTCTGGATAATCAAGTCACTATTACGACGATGGGCCACGTGCAGAATTCTTTTTTTGATTTTTTCTATTTCACTTATTTTTTTTTTTTAATTAAAATGTTATTTTTTTATAGATTTTTTTAATCTTAAATATTTTATTAATTTTTTTTATATAGATTTTTTTTTTATTTTAAAAAGATTTTTTTTTTCCTAAAGTTTAAAAAGATTTTTTTTTCTTTTTAATTTAAAAAGATTTTTTTTTTTCTTAAATTTTAAAAAGATTTTTTTTATTTTGTAAAACAAAAGAACAAAAAATGTTTCTTTTGTTTTACTTTTATTTTTTATGATTTTAAATGAAATACAAAAAATAACCCCAAAAACGCTATTGCGACCATGGGCCACCATACATGTCCTATATGTGTTCATTGTGTTTGGATGTGAATATGAGTAATACTAATACAACTATGACGATATTAGCAACGTAATATGAAAAGAATGTCGCTAACTTGAAGTGTGTTTATGCATCATATTATTCACATAAAGGCCGCACATCCGTTATGTTATTGCATATTGTAGTATTACGATTAAAAAGGAACACGGGTCGCGGTGACTCAGTGGGTAAGACGATGGTTTGCTAGCCTGGAGAACTAGGGTCCGCTCCAGGTGTTGGTCAGGCAAGTTCTTCGAGCTTTTCCGGCGTGGTGTTTCCCTTGTCAGTGGTGCAGAACGGAGGACCTGGCAAATGACAGTAGAGACTTATGGCAAGTGTAAATTCCTGGTCCGTATCGCGTATCCGTAATGATTTTGCGTGTAACGTCATCAATTCGTGTGTATTTCTCATACGTGATACGGCACACGGATACGGCAGCACGTATCGAACAGTTTTAATACGGAAAAAGTCGTCGTCTTTTTTGCTACTTTTAGACGCTGAAATGTTGTGCCGTAGCGTTTTTATGAATCTATATGTCTATCCTAGAACGAAGGTGTATATTTGATGTGATTTTAACCATGGCAAAGACTGGAATTTAATTATTACTTTGGATGAGATTTTCGCGGAATTTTCATATTTTCCTATCTGTATGAACGCTTGTTGATCTACTTGCTAAATTTAGGGAGGTGGGGCCTTGCAAATCTGTAAAAGAGGTATATATTTAATAAGATTCGACACTATTTTTTTTTTTTTTTTTTTTTTTAATACGGAAAAAGTCGTCGTCTTTTTTGCTACTTTTAGACGCTGAAATGTTGTGCCGTAGCGTTTTTATGAATCTATATGTCTATCCTAGAACGAAGGTGTATATTTGATGTGATTTTAACCATGGCAAAGACTGGAATTTAATTATTACTTTGGATGAGATTTTCGCGGAATTTTCATATTTTCCTATCTGTATGAACGCTTGTTGATCTACTTGCTAAATTTAGGGAGGTGGGGCCTTGCAAATCTGTAAAAGAGGTATATATTTAATAAGATTCGACACTATTTTTTTTTTTTTTTTTTTTTTAAATAACTCCGCGAAAGTCGAACGACTTTACTCCCTTCAGGAATTTGTAGGCTAGGTACTTGACTAGTACTGATATTGATCTTGGTAGATAACAGCCATCATGCTGTAATAGAACTACTCTCAGCTCAGCTACCCATACGTAGACGGCGCAAAAATCTGCCAAAACTCTAAAACTAAATTAACGCAACGTATCACGTGACGATACGGATACGTTATACGGATGGGAAAAATTCCACTTGCCAAAAGTCTCTAGTGTCTAATCATTCGGATATGAGCAAAATCTGAGGTCCCGCTGTAATACTTTTAGTAGAATTTTTGCTCGAGAAATAACATATTCGCATAATATGTGATATGTACTTAAAATACTTAAATCAACTTAGTCTGTAATTGATAGTTGACACATAAAAAAGAGCGATTTATCGAAAACATATGTCACTCATTTACCACCGAATTACACGTGAAGCAGAAGTAAAGACAGCTAGAGACAAATACTAGACGATCACAAGGCTACAGAAATATGTAGTAAGAAAAGATGCATGGGTCATACGTAGGATGTGGCGACCGGTTTCCCATAGACGCTCTCCACGTCAGACAGAAGACTCATGGTGCTACACCGCGTACATATTTGCGTGCACGTAATAGAATCCTTCTGTTGAATTCGGAATGAGAGTAGGCCCTAGTACCTCTGTCTGGGCAAAAATGTCCCTCATATCACACCGTATGTCATTCTTCGTTGGCCCAGTCGGTGCAGAAAAGTAGGACGTTAAACCCCATTTCAATTAAAAAATAAGACAGCAAATTATCCCTAAGCATGTCTTTTTTTGATCCCTTGATATAGAAATGTTCTATGTTTGAGGGTCAAATGGGAGTTGGGATGGCTGAACCGGAACATTCTTGTCGATCGGCACGTACTATGGTTCCCACCTATCGACTACCCCTCTCCCCCAGCAGGATGCTTTTCAAATTTGGGTCATGCTGTCTAAAATATCCCTCACACTTATAGTATACATGAATCGGTTTGTAAATATATAAACACGGTACTTACCCGACAGGTATTCTGTTACACCTATTGGTGTGTATAAACATATTATAACCAAAACAACATCAAACGCTTTACATATCCTTCTTAACATGGTGCGCATGTCCTACATTTTGCCCATTTTCAAATCTTTTATTGTTCTCGTGAACCAGCATAACAGGTGATGCAAATATTATCCTTCCGATATGCTTTAGTATCGTCTATCTTATTTCTTCTCTCATATTCCATAATTCTATGTCCATAGTTTAAAAAAAGAAATTTTAACAAAATCGAATAAGATGTGCGAATTTAGTTAACAACAACTATTTACGCAAGGAAATATTAACAAGGAAATATTAAATCGAAACTATATTTCGGAAGTTTTTAAATAGAAATATGACTCATGTGATAATCTATCTAGGTCATCCATGACTATTTAATAAAAACGCGATTTTTGCCTACACCCATGGGCCGTAATCCAGGAAGTTACGGTCTGATATGTGCGAATATCGAAAGGAACTGAGATCGTTGGGGTATAAACATATGTTTTTAGTTTCATCAAAATTTTCACGAAATTCGAACTCGAACGTCATTATAGCATGTAACGGTAGTATATTTGAACGATTTGTAAATTGGGATAACAATTGTGACCTCTAGGGGGACCACAAGCTAAAAAAGTGCTTTTTTTGTACAATGAGTTACGGTCTGATACATGACAATATCGAAAGGAATCATGATCTTTGGGAAATAAACGTATATTTCAAGTTTCGTCAAAACCGGATAAAAATTGTGACCTGTAGAATGTCCACAAACACATTTTGGATGGACGGACGTCCTGGTGGACAGGGGCTACAAATTATTTGTCCACATGGAAAATTGGACGGACGGGCGTCCGGGTGGACAGGGACTACTACAACATTATATGTCCACATGAAAATGTTGGCGTTTAAAAACGTGTGTTAGATGTCAAATCAACGTAACAAAATGATACCAAAAGGAAATTTTCACCGCGGCAGGATTTATAATGATCTTTGGTCGTCTTCGTTGGTAGCATTTTGTGTCAACTTATTTTGCTTTGATTAAGTCGGTTTACTTTAATTTGTCGATGTAATGATATCATCACGTATACGTTGTAGTTTTGATTGCCAAATAGGAAATATGTACGTTAGATAATCCCCGCACATCTGATGTAACTTGAAATGTAGTCTATAATAGCCTTGAGCATTGCTACATATCCTCAGTACCGAAACGAATAGTATTTGGTACTTGTAGTTCATATTCTGTCACTGACACTTCAACGCCTATATGAAAAAAAATAATAATAAGAAGAATTGTTAATTATGTGTCACAGATTGTACATTCACAATAAAATTACAGTTAAAAAATAATAAAAGTGTACAACGTTCGGCCTTTAAGTCATATGAGACACAAAATGCGTGATATATTGTTTAAATTAGAAGATACAAAGTAAATAAATAAAAATTTAACAGTTTTAAGAAAGAACGTTTGACATGCTTTATAATATAATACCAATTAAATCATTTAAAATCGAAAACAATAAATAGTTAAACATAATTATGCAAGAGCTAAATCTGCCTATTTCAGGTCTTTCTTCAGACCTGAAATTTCATCTAAATTATTAATTAGACATTAATTAACTTATCCAGACCATAATCAACTCTCGGTGTCATGGCTAGCCTGCGATATTTACTGGATTTGGATCCGATTTGCTGCTCAACTTTCATTCATGGTTTACTCATGAAATGGATAATCGAGACTTTGTTTTTTTTTATCGTACCGACTTTAGTAATGATGACCAAAGTCTCACGTTCCAAATCCTAACCGCTTTGAATTCCGTTTTTACACCTAGCCGTTTGCTATGAAAATGAAATTTATTTTCAAAATCCAGACCTTAAAACATCGGGGATCTTGTTGAATGGTTGATATCAGACGTGAAAGGATATGTCCTGACAAAAGTTTTTGACATAGTTTCCAGTTGTAGTTGTGCCTAATACTATAGATATACACAACTGCTACATAAGATCTTCTGGGGGCATCACAAAATCCGACACGTCTGTACTATAAAACATCTTTTGTGTTTTGGTCAAAATAACATCTGGATATGGTTATGTGTTGAATCCGTCAAAAGTCGTGTACTAATTCTAACCATTGGCTTAAATAATCTCCTTCTAGCAATTCAACCCAATCCGTTTTGAGTTTACATAAATTTTCTTGATACGTATCGTTAGCGGTGAGATCAATCCAAGCGGGCCAAAAAGCTTTAATGCTGTACTGATAGCGTTTATTTCGTTGGTGTGGCTTTTTCTGCAAATCAGGCTATATCTTGGAGGTCAAATTTAAACTCGTCTGTGATGAAGAGCCAACGCACTCCAGGTATCTTTTATTCTCCTTGTTCTGGTTCAGTCAGTGGCCCAACTGTGGTCTGGGTAAATAACCCATCTTCTTCACAAATAATCTGTTCGACGGGCAAAGTAATCTTACTCATTTATTTGTATTTCTTCACTCCGAATTCTTTCCCTTAGTTGACTGGAATTCGTGATAAAAGAACCCCCCCCCCCTTCTGCTAAACAAGATTTTGATTTTTGGTACAACTTGAAAGCCTCATCTTCATTTTTGGCTCCGGATACGAGATCGTGGATGTAAATCCTCCTATAAAACCTGACAAAACCTGAATCGATATGTTCAAACCTCCCCATGTGCTACTTTAAGCGTTGCGTTAAGAAAAAACGGCCTGTGTGGTATTCTAAAAACAACTCGAGTAAAACATAAAAACAACAAATTGGGTTCGCCCTTCTCTACATCATCCATCTACAAAAATCTCTGTAATACATGTTATCTATATACTTTTCTTAAATCGAAATCATTAAAAAGGCCTTTTCAATGTCATCTGTGATGGCGACTCAGAACTATTGTAATAATATAGGGTTATTTTAGTTCTATGAAAGGTGTTCTGTTTAATATAGAAATTCGTTCCTACAGGATGTGTTACGAAAACTAGGCCAATGAAGTATTTTGCATTATTCTACTACTTTCTTAAACTAACTCACTGGCTATTTCAACATAAACTGTCTTATTCTGTAATTCCAGGGATTCTATATCTCAAAATTTCTTCATCTGATCATCTAAGCTAACATGACTCCTTTCATTGGTCAAGATAATACCCAACCTGGTTATGTTTCCATTGCTGTGGGGCCTGCAGATTCCCCGTATTACACGACCGGTTACAATAGTCCGATATTGTTCACATCCTACCAAGATATCAACTTCTGCATCTGTGTTACTCGTGGTAGAATCAGCCAATTTAACATGAGCGAATCGTGGTTAGTCGGCTTTAACTTCATCAATGTGTTGTTCCTTCAGTGGTTGGCATAGCATGGATGCTACAAAGGCAGTAATCTGGGTATCATTTCCAAGGGCTTTCTTCATAAATTTCAGGACATAAATATCCTTGTAAGATTCGTCAGATGATCCAAAAGCCTTGATTAAGACTTAGGTTTTCGTGATTGGTTTTAACTTCAACAGTTCTTTCAGACGCGTGGTTACGTAGGTACGTTGGCTAGCTGTGGCTTAAAATTGTATTAATATTGATATTTGTAAAATGTATAAGGGTACAGTTTGATAGTTTGATGTCTACTTTCGGCTTCACTGGTTTTCAAAAAATCTTACTAGCGGTCTTAATCCGCGTCTCGGTTTGGTAGTTCCCGGTATAAATTATAGCGTGTTGTCATTTACTAGTGTGGACGGTTTCTTCGGTATTTGTTTGTGGATATGATCCCAAACAACTTTTAAACACTAGGGAATTCAGTGAGTTAAATGAATTTGTTAATGTGTGGTTAGATATGGAAATCTAAACCTATTCGGTAAACTGTTCTGTAGTACATTTAGTATGTATATCGATTGACTGTTTGAATTTCACCAGTTATTTTAATAAACTTTAAACTTTGACTTTAAATATACTGTGCAATTGACACAAAAACACTTCGACAGTTAAATGTTTTGTCTGCCTTATCAATATTGTACATATCTGCTCGAGCAGTCTTTAGTAGAACAGAACATGAACTTTCCGAGGTGTTTGTCTTCGGACTGTTTCCATCGGCATCAAGCCTAGGTACTGAAAAGAAACTGTGCTGTGGGACATATGCTAATATGGTGTTCTGGACGGTTTCTCCTTTCAGGAGTTTCTTCCTAGGTGTTTGCTTCGTAGGCAAGGGTATCATCTTCCCTGTTGTCTTGGTATTTCTCTCCTGGCGTCGATATTACAAACAGTTTTACGGGAGTTTGAAGAATTTGGCTGCATCCTGGAGTTTCTCTGGTATCTGAATGAAGGAATGTGGTTGTAGAGGGTTTCCATTTGGACTGTGGCGATAACGTGCAGGGTTATTCTGTGTGTGCCGAGTCGTAGAAATTGAAAGTGTTCTCTCAAGTGCTTCTATTTCTCGTTCCATGATTTGTAGAACTGCAGGAAACTCCCAGTCAACATTAACAATCTCTCGTCCAGTAATAATCTTAAAATCGGGCGGTAGCTTATTCATAAGAATAGAAGACAGTAGGCGTCCTAAATTCGTCGATGGAATTAAGGCTTCTAATGTTTGATGACAAGGTATCGTAGAATTGTCTAAGAGAACGTAGATTGACGTGAATTCCTAGGCTTGAGAAGCGGTGTGATTAACAATTTGTGTAAATTCATTCGTACTATTATATAAGCGCGTTTCATTTGATAACAACTGTATAACAGAATGAGTGGAATTCAAAATGTCGTTTTTCTATCTGAAACTGCAATTCAACCTCCTCTAAATTTCGATTCAAATTTCTCAATGGTTAATACTGTAGTTTCTCTTAAATGTCAGTGTCTTCAATCTCCGTTGTAAAACGTTAAACGAAGGTCGTCTTGAATATGTGCCCCCCCCCCCCCCCATGGATTAACCCAGGGGTCCAGGGGTTAGTGGAGTAGAACGGGTTGAGACCACCGGGGATACCGAGGATGGCCTTTGATAGAAACGCAATTACAGGAGGCAAAATGAAATGAAATGGGGTTTAACGTCCTACTGTTCTGCTCCTAAACTGG